ACCAGACCGCTGGAAACACCAGGGATCAGGTGCCTAGGAGGAATAAGCATCCTCTGTTGACAGGTCATACCAGCCGTGAGACTATGTATTGATCAGGTATACGGAGTACTCCGTAGTCAAATTTAGTAGAAAAACCACTTACAAATGGTATCAAAGATGTCAGACAAAATACGACTCAACGATACGTTGTATTTACAAACAAGTTCATTATATAATGACCGTAGAATTTACGAAAAGCTGACTCAGCATGAATATACATGTACATTGAATGCAACAGCTTTAAGCAAGCAAGTTTTTCTATGACTCAACAGTTCTTGAGATTGATCCCAAAGAAGTTTTGGTCTTTCTGTGGGATCAATGTCTTCAAAAGTTGGGATACAGAAAAACGTGTTTACAAAAAGTTTTTCCTGTATTTCAATGCAGATATCTTTTTCTCATTTTATGTTGTTATACTATAACTTTATATCCCTTTTGGGATATTATAGCACAAAAGTGGGTCCAACCTGTTGAAAAGTATGTATTCCGTTCTATTCAACTGACATCTAGTGTATACATGTATAGATTTTCAGCTGTAAACAGTTTAGCAAACAGATTGGTTAACGTTTTTCCTCAGTTATATAAAAAAGCACATTTATTCAAACCAACAGCGTGTTTGCGACAACTGAAAGGACTACAAGATGAGAAAGAGGAATCAATCAGTGACCTTTTTCACAATAAAATCTGAGGACTAATTTAAACAAAAATAAAACACTCTATAGTTTTTTATAGTTTTTTCTTTTTTTTTTGCTTATTAAAGATATTTATTTCTTTTCTACAGTATCTATTGCAATGTAACTTTATTTAACGGAAATGTAAGATTTCTGCGATCTACTGCAGCTTAGATACTTGTTGGAGAATAGCAGAATTTGTTGCGAGATTTTTCCGTTTACCCGATCATGATAAGGAGCATACAGCAGGTGTGTCCGTTTGACAGGAGGTGTTCGCTTCTACATGGCGCCGGAGTCCACCTCTGATGTTTTTGGAGGCCCGTGCTTGCTTTTCTCACAATTTGTGTTGTATCAATGGCATTTTTGAGCTTGATTACTGTTATTTATCTTATATTTTATAAATAAACTTTTTTGGTTTATGCTGAAAAAATATATATGAGAAAATGTATAAACTTGCAAATCTAACAGCACAGAGTTAGAGAATCTCAATATATGACAAGGGTCTACTTTCGTCCGTCATTTTACATAAAGATGAAAACGGTAAAAAAAAATTATTGTGTTTTAAAATCAAAAACCCAAGGATGCAAGCTCTGCTACACAAAATCTTTAACCTTGAAAATAAAATACTTTTATTTAAAGAATGTAGGAGAAATAACACAATTAGGGATGTCAACGAATATTCGAATATTCATTCGATGAGTTGATATTCGAATATGAAATTAAGATTCGAATATTCGGCTATATCACAATATGAATAAAAAAGAGAGGTAACTCTGGAGAATTTCAAGGTAAAGGTACAGGGGTTATCTATCTTATTTACTTGCTATTAATTTAGATCCTCCGGTTTAAATTGTTTCATGAGTATTATTCACTACGTTCTTAGTATAGTGAATCTTTTCATTTTGAGTTCGGTGTTTTATAAGATCAGTCATGCCTCCCAAGTCAAATTTCTGGCGGTTTTTCAAGAAGGAAAATAATGGAGATTCAGTTCAGTGTTCGTTGTGCGAAACAACTTTGAATTATTGTGGAACTACTTCGAACATGTTGAATCATCTAAAAAATAAACACCCAAGTTGTCAAAATCAGGAATTACATAACAGCTCTTCCAGCTCATTTTCTCAGCCTACCATGGGAACTTTCATGTGCTCGCCGAAGAAAATGGGTCCAGGACAATCGGAAAAAATTACAGCTGCGATTTCCAATATATTTGCCACCAAGTATAGTATCTGGAGAAGGGTTGCATATATAGCAAGTCCGTATTGTTGTGATTAAAGGGTTCAATTTCATAATAGATCTATAGTTTATTTGTTTATCTCGTAATTGTCGTTTGCAATCTAATATAATTATAGTCATTAGATTGGAAAGCTAGTTAAGAGAATGGCCTAGGCCTAATTATGATCAATACGCCGTTTCAAACAGGTGTTACGTCTCTAATAGTTATCTTTCTTGTTGCTTGCTTAGACGATCGATTCATCAAGTGTATTGGAGCTTCAATTAAACTTCCATTTTTTGTGCTTTGACTGTTTTAACAGTCAACATATTAACATCAAATATTAAATATATATATTGTACAGTGTCTCCCTAATTAAACAAGTCTAGATTTAACTTTCAAACACTGAAGCAAAGTGTGTACTATGGGCAGGGCAATGCGTATATCAGAACTTATTTATTGTTAAATGATATCAATTTTTATCGAATATTCGAATATATTCGAATACTGTTATCGAATATTCGAATATTAATTATTGACTATTTTGACATCCCTAAACACAATTACACTGAAAAATATGGTATCATGTCAAAATAACAAGAGGCCGAAGGGCCTTAACGGTCACCTGAGTACGATACAACAATTTAGACGATCCATAAACTGATAAATGAAGCTTTGTTGCCCAAAAGCAAGAAAAATAGTATGATAAGCATCAACAAAATAATTGGTATAGAATCTATCTGTCCCCCATTTATCACAATTACCATGCAGACTATTAACAAAATGTCTATTTTTAACCTCCATATTATTACTTCTCACATTGGTCTCTCTTGGCCTTTGAAGAACATTAAAAAGATAAGTTATTTTTGCCTCTCCTTTATTCATCTATTATTTCCAAGTCTACCTGATCATTAAAAGTATGAAAGTACTTTTTGTATTATACAAAAAATATTCTTGCATAATTCTCTTATTCTATTAACCTTTAAAATACATTTTTTACAGTGATTAATTATCAAAGGTAAATGGCAAAGGGGAAAAACTTTGCTTAGCGGAATACAAGTTCATAGAGCCCTGGCCAGGACCAGAACACTTGACTAAATAATCCAGGTGTTCAAAATTCTGGTAAAAATACCCTTGCATATTCAAATTTTACTCTGTTTGCCTCGAATATGCCCAGAAGCATAGAAGATTTTCAAAGAAATGCATTTTCACTATATTATTAAATAAATAAAGCCCCCCCCCCCTACACCAGAACATCTTACTCAGGGGTCATTAAATCACAATTCTGGAAGAAGCACCTTGCTCATCATAACTATACACTTGTTTCTTTGCTTTATTACCAGCAGTAGAAAAAAAAATTGAAAGAAATTATGCATTTTCACTATATAGTCAAAAGAGCCCCCCCCCCCTTTTCACCTGAACCTCTGACCCAGGAACCATGAATTTCACAATTTTGGAAGAGGCATTCTTTCTTATCATAACCATGCACTTCCTTTGTTTGAATAATACCCTGGAGAAAAGAAGAATATTTTGAAAGAATTTATGCATTTTCCATATATAATCAATAGAGCCCCGCCCTATCACAAAAACCCTTCACACAGGGGCCACAAAATTCACAATTTTGAGGAGGCAGCCATGCTCATCATAACTATGTACTTAGGCAATTTAATATCCAGGAGAGAAGAAGATTTTCAAAGAATTAATCAATAAAGCCCTGCCCTAACACCAGAACCCCTGACCCTGGGGCCATGAAATTCACAATTTTGGAAGAGGCACTCTTGCTCATCATAACTATGTACTTAGTTACTTTATTTAATACCCAGGAGCAGAGAAGATTTTCAAAGAATTAATGCATTTTCACTATATAATCAATAGAGCCCCGCCCTAAAACCAGAACCCCTGACCCTGGGGCCATGAAATTCACAATTTTGGAAGAGGCACTCTTCCTCATCATAACTGTGTACTTAAGATATCCTCTAAATACCCAGGAGCAGAGAAGTTTTTTAAAGAATTAATGCATTTTCACTATATAATTATTAGAGCCCCGCCCTAACACCTGAACCCCTGACCCAGTAGCCATGAAATTCAGAATTTTAGAATAGGCTCTCTTGCTCATCATAACTGTATACTTAGTTACTTTATTTAAAAGAAGAGAAGATTTTCAAAGAGTTAATGCATTTTCACTATATAATCAATAAAGCCCTGCCCTAACACCAGAACCCCTGAATCTGGGGCCATGAAATTCGCAATTTTGGAAGAGGCATTCTTGCTCATCATAACTATGTACTTAGTTACTTTATTTAATACCCAGGAGCAGAGAAGATTTTCAAAGAATTAATGCATTTTCACTATATATAATCAATAGAGCCCCGCCCTTACACCTGAACCCCTGACCCTGGGGCCATGAAATTCACAATTTTGGAAGAGGCACTCTACCTCATCATAACTGTGTACTTAGGTTATCGGCTAAATAGCCAGGAGCAGAGGAGAAGATTTTTAAAGAATTAATGCATTTTCACTATATAATCATTAGAGCCCCGCTCTAACACCAGAACCCCTGACCCATGGGCCAAGAAATTCACAATATTGGAAGAGGCACTCTTGCTCATCATAACTATGTACTTACTTCGTCGGCTAAATACCCAGGAGCAGAGAAGATTTTTAAAGAATTAATGCATTTTCACTATATAATCATTAGAGCCCCACCCTAGCGCCAGAAGCCCTGATCCTGGGCCATGAATTTCGCAATTTTGGTAGAGCGCTTAATGCTTATTACAATCATGCCAACAGTTTGACTGCTTGATGTCCAGGAGTAAAGAAGAAGATTTTTTAAGATTGCATTAATTTTGATGGTTTTAGCCCCACCCCTCAGACCCCAGGGGGGCAGGGGCCATGAATTTCAAAATTTTTACTCCCCTTCACCCATAGATACTATATGCCCAATTTGGTTGAAATTGGTTCAGTGGTTCCAGAGAAGAAGCTAAAAATGTTCAAAAGTTTACGACCGATTGACGACGAACGACGTACGACGACGGAAGAAGGTCACCTGAGTGACTCAGGTGACCTAAAAACGTACATGGAACAAAACTATATCTAGACTTTAATGATCTTCGATTCTCAAAAACTACACACTTTCACATACATACACCTGGGTATAACGTTGAAGTTTGTCAACGTTGTTTTGCGATCAAGCAATCAATAAGAAATAGTAAAACAAAAATAATTAAATCAAAATTAATATTTTGCTTTGGGAAGGCAACGTTTTGGCCGAATCTGCAAATCCTTAAAACTGCAGCTAGTTCCCACATGGATTTGAAAGTAAAACATTTCCTCAAGTCCAACAGGTAGTTCCAGGGGATCAAAATGTTTTACATCACACTTAAAACGTTTAAAGATATATTTCATGTGATTGAAAAGTTTTATTTCCTTACAGATCCCTGAATCGATGAAAATCACCTTTTTGATATCCGATCATGCCATACCTTGAAATAAAAGAGAAAATGAATTTTAGGAACATCACAATTCCTGTTCTCTGTATATATAAGCTACAAAAACACCTTCAGTTTCCTGAATACGAGTTCTCATATTCACAGTGCTGTTAAAACGGATATAAGACCACGGAACATTAACTGGCAAAATTGGAAATATGCAGCTTACGTCATTTCCATCTTTTACAGTCAAAACATTTAATGATAGACAATGAAATGGGCTGGTGACAATTCGACACGGACGTCCGAGAAAGCATTGGATAGAAATTCTAGTTTGAAATTCATTTTTCAACACACCTCAGCTACACTAGAACACACGGTGTTACTGATTGACCCAGAAGACAAATAATTTCAATTTTGGAATAGTTTGAAATTTATATAAATCAGAATTTCCTGTCCAGTGTTTTTAAAGAAATATAAAGGAACAAATATTTGATTTCTGATTGGTATGTGTTTGCTGGGAGGGTGGGGGGAAGGGGTTGAACGATCTTAGAATAAATATGAAAGTTTTCTTTTAGTTTGGACAACCCCCCCCCTGCTCTTGTTTGTCAAACATTTTTCAGTGAAGACAAAACTAAAAAGAATAAGCTTTTGTCATCCTAGAAATAAATATAATCTGTCATGTGAAGGCATGATCTGACTCGACAATTTTTGACAGCCCCCCCCCCCTTTAGAATCAAATGACCATCCCCTGAAAAAAATAATCTATGTCTTCTATTACTTTTACGTGTCCTTAAAATTATAGCCTAAAGTACTCATATAAATATGAATTTCAAACAACATGTATTTGGGAATTGTAATCATGGTAATCATTTGTCTTTTGGATCATACATTCACACTTTAGGTTTGAAAACAGTTCAGGTGGATTGAAAATGAATTTGAAAATAGAATTTCAATCCAATGTTTTCTTTGACGTCCGTGTCGAATTGTATCCGCCCATTTTATTGTCTATCATTAAACATTTTGACTGTAACAGATGGAAATGACGTAGGCTGCATATTTCCAATTTTGCCAGTAAATGTTCTGCGGTCTTATAAGAATGGCTTTCAATCTTCCCTTAAAATCATCTTCTATATTTGTACATTTTGGGGTCAATCCCAGAGTGTTTCTGTACTTGAACGGAGGAAAAGGGACTTCGTTCGTTTCAAGTTAAATACCAGTATTATACAGCAAAAAAAAAAAGAAGCAAAAATGGCAAATTTTGGGATCCAGTGCTCCTCATTTCCTGATTTCTAGCCTCAGAGATGACAAAACCACTAATGATTATAACCAGTTTTTGTGGTATTATACCACTATCATATGACCTATACCTACCTTTTCACTGAAATCACAAAATATACAAAATTATGAACAAGTCGATTTTTTTTCTATCTGGTAGGCACAAATGTTGTCAGATGAACTAATTTATTAAATGTACAAATTTCGATAGATAAAAAGGGTCAAAATATTCATATATTATTCACTTGCATGGCCAGATAAACTTGTTTCTTTTCCCAATTCTATTTTCTCCAAACTGCGATATTATTTTCAGAGCACTAACTTATTACAAGTAAGAACTGTCCATTTTTAGTACGAATATATCTATATATAAAATATATTTATAGTCAAAATTTTCTCTTCACTTCTTTTTTCTTAGCACAAATGAGGAAAAACAAAATATCGCTCCGTTTTTCCTCTCCTTTTAAAATTGATATGAGGTAGTCAATCAATATATTTTTTAAAAAGTTTGCTTGTTCAAAATTGAAGTACTTTCTTTGGTAAAATATCTCTTCAATCGTTCGTGTAAATTAACCCGTGACTCTTACTTTAGTGGCGGCTCTGTGCACGAGTGTATGACGTAACGCCAATCTATTGATATCTCTGTCATAGCCTCCTCCAATCACAGTAGCAACTGGAATACCACGTGACACACAAGAGTCAATTACAAACCAGTCTCTCAAGAATAGCCCTTTTGAAATAAATTTAAATGAAAAAAGATAAGCAGACTAGCATTCAGTTTGATGTTATACACAAAATACGAAAGTAATTCACAAAATACTGTAGACTGGGTTATTTTCGCCCCAGTGTTACTTTCGCCATTTCACACTTTCAAACAATTTTGTCCCGTTTTAAATTCGCCCACATGCGACGAGGGTGAAAGGGGCGAAATTAAAAAGGGGCGAAAATGCCCCTGTAAATTCGCGGATAAGGATGACCCTAGAAAAATGATGATTTGTCAGTATTACATGAAATTCAACAAAATAAATGCTTATTACGAGTAAATTATCATTTTTTGAGAATTGCAAAATAGTTTAACCATAGACAGCAATTCCTAAGTTCTATGTGCAGGTCCATTATATCTTTGATTTACACATCATATGGGAAGCAATGTACACCTACATGTGTATAAGCACGCCTGCAGTGTCTTACAAAAATGCTGTATTTTAAAATTTGCTCTATATACTTTTGTGCACACAATGATACGTTTAATTAAAGAAATGCATGATGTAGTGATACCAAATAATTTTCAACAATAAACAAGAGGCCCAAGGGCCTTAACGGTCACCTGAATACAATACAACAATTTAGAGGATCCATAGAGTATAAAATGAAATGAAAGGTGAAGCTTTGTTGCCCAAAAGCAAGAAAAATAGGGTGATGAGGATCAACAAAATAATTAGTCTAGTATTCATTAACAGTTCAGAAATTAGGTTCTAATCTGTTCCCCATTTATCACTATCACCATACAATATATTAACAAACTATCAGTGCTTCTGTACTATTTTAATTCCTTGTGGAAATCTCTTACATTGGCCTCTCTTTGTTGAAAATTTAATAAGACAAGTTATTTTTGTCTCATTTTTATTTATCTATTACTTACAAGTCCACCTGATCATTAAAACTATGAAAATACTTTTTGTATTATTCAATAAAAATTCTTGCATAATTCTCTTATTCTATTAATCTTTCAAGTACATTATTTACAGTGGTTAATTATCAAAAGTAAATGGCAAAGGGGAATAACTCCTCTCAGTAGAATACAAATTAATAGAGCCCTGGCTAGGACCAGAACACTTGACCAAATGGTCCAGATGTTCAAAAATCTGGTAAAAATAACCCTTCCTTATTACAACTTTTACTCTTTTTGCCTCTGATATGCCCAAGTGCAGAGAAGACTTTTAAAGAAATAATGCATTTTTACTACAGATTCACAATATTATCAATAGACCCCCCCCCCCCTTTCACCACCGAGAAACACCATAGCCTCTCACCCTGGAACCAGAAGTTTGCTCATCATAAGTAATCACTTTGTTTATCTGCTTAACATTAAGGAGCAGACAGGATTATTTAATAGAATTAATGCATTTTCACTATATTATCCAGAGCCCCACATTTACACCAGCACATCTGACCCAGGGGTCATGAAATACACTACTCTGGAAGAAGCACTCTTGCTCATCATAACTATATACTTAGCTTCTTTGCTTTTTAACCAGAAGCAGAAAAGAATATTTTCAGAGAAATTTTGCTTTTTCACTATATAATCAATAGAGCCCCCCACCCACCTTTTCACCAGAACCCTTGACCCTGGGGCCATGAATTTCACAATTTTGGAAGAGGCATCCTTGCTTATAATAACAATGTATTTAGTTCGTTTAAATAATATCCAGGAGCAGAGAAGAAGATTTTTAAAGCACTAATGCATTTTCACTATATAATAAATAGAGCCCCGCCCTAAAATCAGAACTCCTGATCCAGGGGCCATGAAATTCACAATTGTGGTAGAGTCACTCTTGCTTATCATAACTATTTATTTAATTTGTTTAAATAATACCCAGGAGAAGAAAATAAGATTTTCAAAGAAATAATGCACTTTCACTATATGATCTATATAGCCCTGCCCTAGCACCAGAACCCCTAACCCTGGGGCTATGAATTTCACAATTTTGGTAGAGTCACTCTTGCATATCATAACTTTGTATTTAATTTGTTTAAATAATACCCAGGAGTAGAAAAGAAGATTTTCAAAGAAATAATGCACTTTCACTATATGATCTATATAGCCCCCCCCCCCCCATAAGCACCAGAACCCCTGACCCTGGGGCTATGAATTTCACAATGTTGGTAGAGTCACTCTTGCATATCATAACTTTGTATTTAATTTGTTTAAATAATACCCAGGAGTAGAAAAGAAGATTTTCAAAGAAATAATGCACTTTCACTATATGATCTATATAGCCCCCCTCCCCCTTAGGCACCAGAACCCCTGACCCTGAGGCTATGAATTTCATAATTTTGGTAGAGTCTTTCTTGCTTATCATAACTATGTATTTAATTTGTTTAAATAATACCCAGGGGTAGAGAAGAAGATTTTCAAAGAAATAATGCACTTTCACTATATGATCTATACCCCCCCCCCCCCCAGCACCACAACCCATGACCCTGGGGTCATGAATTTCACAATTTTGGTAGAGTCACTCTTGCTCATCATAACCATGTATTCAATTTGTTTCAATAATACCCAGGAGTAAAGAAGAAGATTTTCAAAGAAATAATGCACTTTTACTATATGATCTATATAGCCCAGCCCTAGCACCAGAACCCCTGACCCTGGGGACATGAATCAGACGTTCTTATTGAGGGACAAAAGCATAAAGTATCTCTGTTTACTATAGTAATCTATATATCGGCAAAATTATTGGGGGGCGTGCCCCCCCCCCCCCCCCCTACGGCCATGAAATAAATAAATAAATTCAGAATTAATCTAGCATCAGAAATGTATTCATATGATACAGAGGGGTGGGATTCGTTTCATAGCTGCATTTAAATGAATAAAAGTGTTTTAAAAACATACTCTCCTATACGGAAGCCCATTTAGGACCTATCAAAAATATTTTTGAATTCGATATAACGAATTGTAAAATTTGTTATAACGAATTTAATTCGTTATAACAATTTCTTTGAATTCGTTATAACGAATTTAATCTGTTATAACAAATTCGTTGAATTTGTTATAACGAATTCAAAAATTTGTTATAACAAATTAAATTCGTTTAAACGAATTCAAAAATTTGTTATAAGGATTTAAATTCGTTAAAACGAATTCGCCAAATCATTATATCAAATTCATACATATCTTTCTAAAGGCCCTGATTGTTGAATTTGATTTAACGAATTTAATTCGTTATAACAAATTTTTGAATTTGTTATAACGAATTAAATTTGTTTAAACAAATTTTAGATTTCGTTTAAACGAATCTTATTAGTTATAACAAATTTTTGAATTCGTTATAATGAATTCAACAAATTTGGTATAACAGATTAAATTCGATATAACGAATTCAAAGAAATTGTTATAACGAATTAAATTCGTTATAACAAATTCTACAATTCGTTATATCGAATTCGAAAATATTTTTTGATAGGTCCTAAATGGGCTTCCGTACTCCTACATGTTTGTGCTGTTAGATATAATAGTTGTCAGAGTACAATGAGTATATGTGCATCTGACTGCTAGCATTCAAGTTCAAGAAGATACAGTCATTTGCTAAACCTCTTTATGATTAAAGCGCTGCAATTCTGCGAAAGCCTGACGTTAGTAGGCCGAAAATTAATTTGTATTGAATTAATAACTTTAATATCTACAGCCAAAACAAAACCGATGTAAAATATGTGATGTACCTTTGAAGTACATTGTCCTGACAAGTTAATTTGCAGGATAAAGTACAATTACTGTACGTGTATAATTGTAGTATTTCAGGTACAAAAAGATACATCTTTGTTATTGTGTGTATGACTATAAGTGTATTTTCGACTTTTTACAATTTACAATGAATGACTGTAATTGAAAAATAAATATAAATACTTAAGTGAATGAAAACAATAATACAAAATGTTCATTAAGGAATGTTTACAAGATATAATTACCTAGGTCTTACCTTCATCTGTTAGACTAAGCTTCCCTAATTCATCCTTTTCATGTGGGTCAACACCAGCATCATACAGAACAAGATCAGGTCTAAAACTGTCCAGCAGCCAAGGGAGATAGGACTGTACGTGGTTTAAGTAGTCTGTATCCTACATGTAAAGCATATGATTTCCAGCCAACGCTAATTGTAAATATTTATATATAATCATGATTGATTTTAATAATAAACTAGAGGTACACTGAGCACTGAGCTCACAAAATGATACCCTCCGCCTCTCATATGTTTATAATGACAAAGTCCATGTCTGGGAGACCCAAAATAAAAGTCCGATCAAAAACTAAAATAGAAGGTGCCCAATGGCACTATAAAATAAAGATTCTGTGAAAGTATCATTAAATTTTGTTCAGTGGCAGGGCTAAACATTTAGGCACGTCCGACCGACTCAGACAAGTAAACGTTAGGTCCGGTCTTGTTTATTTTGCTTCTTGGTAGCCTGACTGGTCGTGTAAATATATTTCGACCGAAGTTTAAATGAAGCAAAACTTCAACAAATTTACAAATTTTTCTTGTTTATCGATGTGTTAGATCAGGTTCCACTTTCATTTTTGATCCCAATGTAAAATAAAATAACCGATGAACCATGATTTTTCCCCTGCCAAATCTGTGTTTGATCAATCAGCTGATGCAGTTATTACCAAGAATGTTAATTGTAGCTTTATTTGAGATATAAAATGTGTCAACCTAGTCAACATTCAACTTAATTACGAAGAGTAATGATCATTATTATATCATCTAGCATTTCCCCCACAACTTTTTGAACTTCGTTCTCAACCGCAAGACAGCCATGATGGGTGCCCACTGTAAATATCACACCTGGTTAGTTCAGTCCGTGAATGTTTGACCCTATATTATAAGTCAGTATGTGAGGTAGTTTATATTAGCCGAAAAAAATCCCTATCGACCAACACTTGCTTCTGTTGAATGTAACAGGAAACATATTTTTTTGGCCTTAGTATACATATCAATATTTCATTAATCATGCTACCATTTGACTTGCTTTTTAAAGCTAACTCTACCAAGATGTTTTCTTCCTGCTAGGTCATTTATGATAGATGTTGCACTGTGTGTTTAATTTAACCAGTGATAGAACTTAATCGAGTTGAAATATAATACATCCCCCTTTCTGATATTTTCTTGAATTTAGTAAAAAGAGTTATATTATATAATTTTCTTTGCACCAAAACCAACTTAAGGTAAGCATCGATTTGCTTACACTGATAATGTTTTTCAACTCTGGGGTTTTCTCTTCATGATCATATTCACGTTGTAACATAGGCGTCAGAAGCAAATTGAAAGTGGGGGGTTAATTAAAAGTGGGGACTAAACCAACAAAAAAAAACGTATGGGGACTTAGCCCCAATTTTCAATGCCTATATTATGTCTATCTTTGCTAAAAAAAAAAAGTAGGGAGGCTACCCCCCCCCCAGCCTCCTCCCCTGGTTCCGACGCCTATGTAATATTGATTGGTTCAGTGAACCATGGATATTAGGTCAGGTCTAGTGAAATTGAGGTCAGGTCTAGTGAAATTTTCATGTACTAGTCCGACTGGTCTAGTTTATTTTAAAGTTAATGTTGAGCCCTGCAGTGGTATAGAAGAAGTTGCAGATAAGAGATGGGTACCCCTCAATATTACAGAAATTGTTTTTCTATTGGAAACCCGAAATATGTGTCCGATCAAAAAGTAAAAATAGGAAGTGCACAATGGCACTATGAAACAAAGATTCTGAAAAAGTCTAATTAAATTAAATCTTGTTCAGTGGTATAAGAGGAGTTGCAGATAAGAGATTTGTACCCTAAAGCGTAACAGATGGACGTGCAGACAGAAGGATGAGCGGAGGTACGCCACATCACTATACATTCCCTTCTTTTCAAGCGGGGGGGGGGGGGGGTGTTAATTAACACTATACCATTTTCACAACTTTGTCCAAAGGGGGGGGGGGGGGAGAGGGAAAAAATTAAAATCCTAATAAAACTTCACTTAAGATGTATTCTTATAATGAAAACAGCTGTCTCCCTTTTCTGAACTCTAATCTTGATAAGGAAATTATTAACAAAAGCTTGAACCTCAAAGTTAATTTCATGGGCAATAACATAAGTATACTGAAGTATGAATTTTCTGCCGAAAACTTAAAGTTATACAGCCTTGATACATAGGAGCAGCAATAGTCTAAAATTTGAAATTATTGCAATCAAGATCTCTAAAGTTCTGGACCTGACACCTTAAAATTTAATATTCCCCAAACTAGTTGGACGATGACCATGCCCTTTAATTTGACGTAGAGGCAATATCTTTCAATGCAATTTTAAAGATTTGAGGAGTACTGGTCCCGACACCATTTCGCTACTATTGCCCAACGATCTTGACTTGCGAGATACAGTCTTTAGTCAAGGTCGTGATGTATTTGGAATAGTTTACAAATATTAACATAAGTAGTTGGTCTTTGATATGTTGATTTAGACTTTACATTATATAAAATGTGGAACGCATGTATTTTCAATATTTTCAAGTAAGATGAAAAATCTCTTTGAACAGTTGAGTGAAAGGACCTTCTATCACTGGACTGGGTGAAGTTTAACTGGAATAGGGAAAGAATGATCGTCAGAACTCGCTGGAGTATTGTCGACACTTTCTCCATATTAAATTTAGGATTGATTGATTGATTGATTGCGTTTTGTTTTACGTCTCATTCGAGAACTTTTCACTCATATAGAGACGTCACCATGTACCGGTGAAGGGCTTCAAATTTAGACCTTTACTCGGCTCTCAGGACCATTGAGCAGTGAAGGATCTTTATCGTGCCAACGTCTGTCGTGACACGGGGCCTCGGTTTTTAAGGTCTCATCCGAAGGACCCGCAACTTTCACTTCAAAGTGCCGAGCGCTTGGCGAAGGAACAGTTACTACCTATTTTTTATCGACTTAGGTCAGCCGCGGCCGAGATGCGAAGTCACGACCTTCCGATCACGGAGCGAGCTTTTAACTTCCACATACTAGTCTGTTGCAGCCATCCATCATTTAGAAATTAAAATTGCTCAGCTAGTAATTTGCGCGTTTTTTTAATCAGAGGAATCGATACGTTGAACGCAGCAATATCATAAGACAAGAAGAACAGCGTCAGATCCTTCTATTTGAATACTCAAAATGTCTTTCGATTGTGAGTCACATATAACTTTTCAGGGCCTAGTCCGGAATGAAAATAAAAAGGGTCAGAGAGAAGTTATCTCTTATGCGTTGTTAAGGCTTCTGATAGGGTGTCAGTAAGGGAATTCTGCTCAAGACACAACACTTTGGTAAAAACAGTACAAATGGTTCAGGAATGAGCACGGTGAGTGCTCCATGATGTCTGAACAAAACAAAGGATTCCAGCCTCTAATGCCAATTGTTAAGTCTTCAACTTATCCTTCATCAGTGTTTAGAAATGTCACCCATATTCTTTTCCAACATCATCTACATGAAAATTAATTCATCAGATGACCGTAAATGGATACAAGATTTGGATGTTAAGCTTAACAATAGAAAGAAGGACGTGTTATGTAGTCCATTCACAGAAGTTTCCGATTTTTTACATTCTTGGTAAAGACCTCAATCGAACTAAATGAACAGTGACCATTGCCAGTTTGACAGGGTAGAGAAGAAAAAAAAAATTGGGCATCATAATTTACAAGACTCTCTGTTGGTATGACCAAATCGAACTCACAACAAAGAATGCAAATAATATGCATGCTTCTGGCCAAAATTGTCTACCAATAGCCTTTGGACAGAAAGTGAAAGGTCACAACACAATCGCATTAACAGTCATCCAAGAGTACAGAAGCATCAATTGGAATCCTCTAAAAATGATTCAAATTGCGTCACAGGAGGGAAAGTTAATCTCTTTCAGATTTAATTATTCTTATTACTTTTTCCCCGTTATCAACACAAATACATACAAATAATAAGACGAGTCTATGCCAGAGATGAAATGCATCAAAAAGAAATGACAGAGAGCCTCACACTTATACTGGTTTAAAAAATTTCTTTTCTAGACATGCATCTGGGTCCGTAATATTTTTTAAAAGGCAAGTCCACTTTGTCGAGTTATTTGTACTTTTGATGGGTGACAAAGCCTTATTTAAATTCTTAATTAATGGAAAAAATTCAGGAAGTCTACTTGAAATTGGTGGTTCAAAAGAAGTCAAAATACTCAAGTTAAACTGTTATAATTTTTAAAAAAAACTAAGAGAAAAAAATTTGATTAGAAGAGTTCATCTGATGCCCTTATTAAGAGCTCTCCCAAAGTTAGTTTCTAGTTTAGGTGGTCTGAGTTTAGTAGTATCACTTGCAGAATACTTACGGAAATTCCCGTTATAAGCCCTATATCCATGTCGCTTGCCTGTTTCTTTAAAGGATAGTTTTTTTCACAGTGCATTGAGAAAGTAAAAATTGCACAACTGTCGCTGAAGATGTAAGCTGTGCCGTCACCCTGTACAATAAATCAATATATATAAATTTTTATTTCAATCAGTTGATTTATTTAAATTTTAATTTTGACTTAAAATGAACCAGAAGCATGGTCTTTGGTACATGTACGTCGATGTATGACTCCAAAACTACAGTTTTTTAGATTAATTTTCATGATTAACTCCATCCTTCGTCTTAAGAGTCTAGACGGGCAGAAAAATCAAAATTTTTATTCCGTTTTGATAACAAATTTATTCTGATATTGGTTCAGAAATTTCCGAGAAAATGCTGAAAATAAGTTTACGTTGTTCACACATTCAATATTCGCACGGAGGGTCGGAATGAATTCTTTTTTTATAGGAATAAAATTCGTTTAAACGAAATCAACTTTGTTATAACGAATTATACATGTATTTGTTTAAAGGAATTCGACAATTCGTTATATGGATTTCATAATATTTTTCTGTAGGCCATAAAAGTTTAATTTGATTAAACGAATTATAACAAATTTAAGAATTCGTTCCAAAAATTTTTATTCGTTATATCAAATTTTGGAACTCGTTTGAACAAATTTAATCTATTATAACAACTTTTTGAATGCGTTATAACGAATTTAACAAATCTGCTTTAACAAATTAAATACGGTATAACGAATTAAAAAAAATGCTGTAACGAAAATTAAATTAATTTAAACAAATTTGACAGTTCGTTATATCAAATTCAATTTTTTTTTTTGATAGGTCCTTATGGGTTTCCGCACGGAAGCCCATTTAAAACCTATCAAAAAATATTTTTGAATTCGATATAAAGAATTGTCAAATTTGTTAAAACAAATTTTTATTTAATTCGTTATAATATTTTTTTGAATATGTTATGATGAATTAAATCTGTTAAAACAGATTTCTTGAATTCGTTATAACGAATAAAAAAAAATTATAACAAATTAAACTCGTTTAAACGGATTCTAAAATTTGTTATAACAAATTAAATTCGTTATAACAATTTTTGAATTCGTTATAACGAATTAATTTGTTATAACAAATTTTTGTATTTGTTATAACGAATTCACAAATACTTTTCTATAGGTCCTAATTGTCAATTTTTACGGAAGCCCATTTATATTTAGGACCTATCAAAAAATATTTTTGAATTCAATATTTCGAATTGTCAAATTTGTTATAACGAATTTAATCCTTTATAACAATTTCTTTGAATTATAACGATTTCAATTTGTCGTAACAAGTTTGTCAAATTCGTTATAACGAATTCAAAACATTGGAATACCAATATAAATTCGTTTTAACGATTTCTAAAATTTGTTATTATATCAAATCAAATTTGTTTAAACAGATTCTTAGATTTGTTATAACGAATTAAATTCGTTGAATCAAATTCAACAATAAGGGCCTGTAGAAAAATATATATGCATTCGATATACCGATTTGTTGAATTCGTTTTAACAAATTAAAGAATCTGTTTAAACAAATTTAATCTGTTATAACAAATTTTAGAATTCGTTAAAACGAATTTATTTTGTTATGACAAATTTTTGAATTGGTTTTAATGAATTCAACGAATTTGTTATAATAGATTTAATTCATTATAATGAATTCAGAGAGATTGTTATAACGAATTAAATTCGTTATAACAAATTCGATTACAAGTATTCTTTATATCGAATTCAAAAATATTTTTTGAAAGGTCCTAAATGGGCTTCCGTAGATTTTGAATAAACGACTTTAATTTGTTATAATAAATTTAAGAATTTGTTTAAACGAATTTAATTAAATATTACAAATTTTAGAATTCATTTAAACAACTTTAATCTGTTATAAAAAAAAATTTGCTGAATTCGTTATATCAAATTCAACAGATATGTTATAACAAATTTAATTCGTTTTGACGAATTCAAACTAGAAATATGTCCATAGGACATGAATGCCCCGCCAAGGGTATATTAGTAATGCAACATTTAAACACTAATTGAGAAAAGTGAGGTCAAGGTCAAAGGAAAGGTCAAGGTCAAAAAATGTTGATGCAGTTGCATAGCTCTCATCAATATCTACCAGCATATGAAGTTTGATAAAAATAACTTGAATAGTTTCTTTGAAACTGAGCTTTGAACAGAGCTAAACGCACAGTGTGACGGAAGGACAGACAGAAGGACGGAAGACGGACATGACAAACACTATATGCCCCGGCCATATTCATGGCGGGGTATAAAAATTGTTATAACGAATTAAATTCGTTCAAACAAATTCAACGTTATATCGAATTCAAATTTTTTTTTGATAGGTCCTTAATGGGCTTCCGTACTTTCGTACGAGCATTAAAAACGAACTATCAACTTTTCAATAGAGCGTAACTGTGACACACTGCAGGCGCGTAGTAACAGGAGGGGGGGCTGCCCCCTTTTTTCCGAAGACTTTTTTTTACTATTTGAAATGTTATTTGAAAGGCCGGTTGGCCTCCCCACTTTTTGTTGTAGAATAGTCAAATAAGGGTTTTGTAGTAGTGTATGAATAAATGAATAAAAATTTGGTACTGAAAGAAGTTGGAACCTACCTACCCCCCCCCCCCCCCCCCCGAAATAGGATTTTCGAGTTCGGACAATCCCCCCCCCCCTTTTTTTTTTTGGCTTGTCAAGTTTTTCCCAGGTAAGTTGATTTTTTTTTCTCTGGCTGCCCCCCCCCCCACTTTCAAAAACGATGCTACGTCCCTGCACTGCATGATGGTATCTGCTTCCATAATACATCGGAAATGAACTAAACCTATCTATATCCCAGCACAGTTATTCAAAACCAACCTGATGAACATCCAGGTCCACAATCAGGACTTTTTGGACTTGGCACTCTTTAAACAAAACAGCAGCAGTGACCGCCATATCATTCAAAAGGCAATACCCAGCCCCGTGGCTAGGAAAGGCGTGGTGAGTACCACCTCCTGTGCTGCATGCTATCCCATGCTCCATAGCAATTCGACCCGCCAAAAGTGTTCCTCCTATTTTAAAGCATTTAACAGAACTGAGAGTACGAACACAACACGTAGTTAAACATTGAACAAAAACATTAAATTTTTTCCCGCAATGCATTTAATTTTTTTTTTTTTATTAATGTTCCCCAACTTCAGTTGTAAAAGCACAGTGTATTAAACGTTTAATTTATGGATAACATAAATCAACGAAATTATATCCCAGTGAAAACGTTATGTGAACATAAAAAATATTTTAAAAAAAAGGTATTACATAAAAAAACAAGATGTGTTTGTGAAACACTATGCCCCCGATGGTAACACAATTCTGGAGTGGGACGTAGACTACAGTGCAATAGTTATGGCCAATGTTAAAAGTTTTTCAAATGTAGGTCAAAGGTCACAGTTGAGGTCACATGATCAAAAATTTCTGTACCAATGGAAAGGTCTTGTCATAATGAACACTCATGTCAAATATTAAAGCCTTACCCTTGACAGCGCAGTAGTTATGGGCTAGGTTAAAGTTGACAACAGACAGACAAACAAACAGACAGACAGGATAAAAACAATATACCCCCGGGATCTTTCGATCCCGGGGCATAAAAATGCTAAATTATGATGCAAATAAAACTGCATGATGTATTTTTTTTTTATTTTCGGTATAATTCATTCCTTGAAAGGGAACTGTAAAGCTACGGATCTCTAAACTTATCCCATATTTTCTCTGCAATCTTTGAAGAAGACATTATTCAGTATACAATATCACATTCAAGGATATCTTGATATCTAGATATTTTATGTATATTCTTTGAAAAAAAAGGTATTAGTAATTTCACGTCTAATTCAATCTTTTGTGATATTACATGTAGCGAGAAGGAGAATTAAGTTTTTAGAACTTGTGCCCAATCATTTCTTGCAATAAAATATGTTCAGATCAAATCATTAGTAATTTTAAAAACTGCTAAAATCTATTGCAAATAAAACTGATATTTGTTATGTTTTGCGTATATTGCCAAATGCAATATACATATAGTGACTTATTTTTCTTTTATTTTAAGTGCAAAAACGTCCGATTCAATTTAAGCTGTAGTACTCGTTTTATTCCTTAGTTCATTCTTTCATTCATTTTTTTTTTCTCTTTTACAGATTTTTTTTTACACGGCAATTAGAATTACAATTTAACACGACAAATACAGGAAAATATGACAAGACCAACCCCAACCCCCCACCCTCCCACCCCGGCGTACTACGGGTCTGCTTCACTGTGAAAAAATCTAAAAATGCAAAAATGCTGCCGATTCTAATTAGGTTGGTTACTAAAAACAACAGCATTTATTAGTATATCCCATATTTCATTTCAGTTTACAATATATGATTAATAGGAAGTATATGAACATAATTTACAGTTTGCGATGTTTCTCTTAACAAAATAGGAAGTAGAGACAATAAACTATTTTAAAATTAGAAGAATGTATGTAACTCACAGTTGGAGATTGTTCTTAACAATGTATGATTATTAGTGTTGTTTATTAGTTTTCAATCCAAAAATTCAAAATTACTTTATGAAGTCATTTTCAACTTTAGATTGAACATCAATAAACGATAATAGGAAGTAAATAATTTTCAGCTGGTCATTGTTTTTAAACTACATGATTAAAAGGAGGGGTGTAATTTACAGCTAGTAATTGTTTTTAACACACCTCAGGCCCGCAGCAACTGTTTCAAAAGTGCGGGGAGTGACCTCTGACAAGCAAAATAATAATTAAAAAATCCTTAACAGTCCAAATCTGGAATCTGTCAGTGCTCGAGCTTAGAGCAGCAAAAAATGGGGGGGGGGGGGGGGCAGCATCTAAATGAAAATGTACTGCAGCAAAATACTATACTCAGAAAAAGGGGCTGTACCTTTTTCACAATATTGACATTTCTTTAGAATCAAATTAAGATATCGTAGCGTGAAGTATAGTGCTAAGATCTATAATAGTATATTAGGAATAACAATGGCGTATATTCCATATAGGCAAAAAGGTTGTAGCCTACACATCATTTTCTTGAAGTAAAAATATTATATTTATACATGTATTTGGTTGAAAATGGGGGAAAGTTGATCATAAATCTTATTTATTTACCAGTTTACTAGAATCATCAAATGCAATAAAAGTATTTTTAGCAATCCACACTTTTATGCCTATCCAACTTTTACGTAGTTCACTTCTCCGACCCCCACCCTCCATCGAGGGTGAGGGGCTCCCTCCTTGCCTACCCGCAATTCGCGTTTCAGGTGAAATCTGTGACTTCACATTAGCCCACACATTAGCAGAAAGGAATATACACCACTGAATAATATCTAAAACACACGTAATAATACTCACTGTCATACACAATATTTTATTATTATCATACAATATGCAAAATTTCGTTGCTTTTTTATTTTCTAGAATCCACATTTGCTTTACACCACTTCTTGAATATGATGTATAACAATTTGTCTGAGGTAACTCCTTTACAGCATTAACATTTTGATGAGGAATAAGCATTAGGGTTTACTTGACCCTGCAATATACATGTAAGTCTTTTATGAAGTTTCCGAAAGGGTACGGTAAATCAAACTCATTTCCATTGACTAGAATTGTTTTAAAACGTATTTAAAACTGAAAGGTGATTTTTGAAGAATTTCATTCCTTGCAAGGGAACTGTCAGTATAGGTTGGATTACCAGATGTGGAATTAAAACTTCTAAAATTATTCTAAAATGCAGTTGTAATAATGAGTCTTACAAACAAAGGCTATAATGATCTGACTATAGTTGAAAGGAGAGAAAGAACAAGCACAGTTACATAAGAGGATTTTGTTTTAGACGTTCACTGTCCACACTGTGGAGTTTGTTTTTAGAAAATTTTGGATGCAACAGTTGGGGAATATCTGTAGGAAAACAAGGGAGTACTCTTCAACTTGGAAGGTGGAATACAAGACTAAGCTTTTCACTTTGAGGAACATGGAGCACAAGCTTGCCTATATGAGATTTTTATACACAAGATGCGTCTGATACTAGTGTATGAAATATATATTTGCAAGCTTGTGCTCTATGTTTTCTGAAACAAAATTGCTGTAAAATCGATGAAAATTTACATAAAAATGAGAAATTTCGGAACTTCTTATATTTTCTGACCTTCCTGTGGCCTCTGTGTATCCCAGAACTTAGAACAATAATCATTTTGTGACAGGGGTGACAACAGGATTTTATTGATAAACTGTTACATCATTCTAAAAGCCACTCCAAACCAGGGGCCAAAAAGGGGTCTTAGCCTATCTTGTTCTTTGACTCTACACTACCCAAGGATGCTTCCAAATAAATATGACATACTAATTTTGCCTTTGCTGTTCTTGAGAAGAAGATTTTTAAAGATTGTTTCCTATATATTCCTGTGCAAAACTTTGATCATCCATTGTGGCCCCGCACTACCCCCAGAGGTTATGATTTGAATAAATTTGAATCTATTTAACAAAGCTTTCACATAAGTTTCAATTCTTCTGGCCCAGTGGTTTTTGAGAAGATTTTTTCTCTGAATTTCTAATATGTAAATCTTTGATCGCTCATTGTAGCCCCATCCAACCCTAGTGGTCATGATTTAATTAAACTTACATCTATACAAGGTAATACAGCTTTCACATAAATTTCATCTTTTCTGGATAAATTTCTATCAGAAAAGCCCACTGAATTCTTTGGCTCAGGTGAGCTAAAAATGTCTGGAAGACTAACTATGATGGAATGACAACAGCAGAGTGACAAAATGATGGACAGAAATTGATAACACTATATGCCCTGGCCATTTCCTGGCAGCTGGTATAAAAATAGAATTTTTTTTAAAAACAGAACATATTTTACAGCAGCTAGATCAGAGCCTTTGAAAGAAATGTTTACTAGATAATATTGCCCATTGTCCGATACCCACGGGTGATCTCGTCTATTACTTATCATACATGTAATATCATCCTGATAAGTAAAAGTCGAGATCACCCATGGGTATCCGACAATGAATATTGCCTAGCAATGATCAATATTAGACTCTCAAAGTTGCAACTCCTGAAAATGTATCATAATTCATCTTTCAACATCGCAATGAATGATTTTTTTTTTTTCAAAAACAAAACAACGATCTAGCTGGTTTTACAGTTCATTAGACATTGATAAATCAGAGATTGATTCATTTAATTCTCATGGTGCTATTCTAGTCTTTCTGGAGTATAAGGTACTTTGGTCTAACTGCTTTGGGAGAATAATGTGACTTTTCAGAGGCAATATAATTATAAATTCCTAGAATCATGCAACTATTAAGTAATTTTATTAGACATAATACAACCTAAAAATAAGAAAAGATTGTAATGAAACTAAGGTATGCACACCTGTTTCTAATCTGCATCTTGATACAATTCCCAGACTCCATTTAAATCCAGTGAGTCTCTGCTCTTCAACTGTTGTTTTCCCAGTAAGGAATCGGTCAACATAGTTGGGAGTATGCACAAGTTTTAGCAAATCTGGGTCTATAGCAGTTGGTTTAAAGATCTGTTTCATTGATATCACATTATCAGTTCTGAGATATCGTAAAACTCCATGGAATTTTCTCATCGCAAATCTATGTTTAAAGGGAAATTCACACACGTATCCATCATGATGTACAATGGGAAGACCATGTATTTCCAGCCTTTTGACCTGAAAGATTTGAAAAAATAAAATATTTTTATAGGGAATATGTCTCTATAGTGTCTATCTTCTTATATCAAAATCTGAAAAGTCTACCATCCCCGAGAAAACCCTTGAAACTTAAGAATTCATCGCTGAGATACTGCATGTACTATATTACTTAGGAGAATTCATCACAAAACAGATATAATGAGGTATTCCTTGGGAAGGAGATTTTACTTATTAAATAGACTCAATCCAAATTACAAAACAATTTATATCATGTTATAAAAATTGAACAATATCTAGACAAAATTTAACCTGTATAATTCCAAGCAATCTGTAAAAATTTTTTATGATAAAGTGTAACTGTTTAAATACCTGGTAATGGATAACATTCTGCTTTCAGGGGTTATCATGTTAATTGTAATGACTTTTAAAATAGAAGAATAACCTTCTGCAACAAGAGATGTTTGTGAAACATTTATGCCCCCTCCCAATAATGGAATTTTTCTAAGTCCAAGGGGGATAACTCTGACAAAAATTGCTCAATTGTACCCAAAACAGAACTTGAGTTAGATATTTTTATAATAAACCTGTATACCAAATTTCATTTCAGTATGTGCAACCTCTGCGAAGAAAAAGAACGGAAACTGCAAATAATTGGAATTTTTCTTAAGTCCAAGGGGCATAACTCTGTCAAAAATTGATCGATCATACCTAAAACAGAAATTGACTTAAATATTCTTATGATAAATCTGTATACCAAATTTCATTTCAGTATGTGTAACCCCTGCAAAGAAAACCTACCGACCTACAGACAGCATCAAAGCAATATGCCCTCCCTTCTTCAAAGGGGGACATAAATATAACAATGCTAAGTTTTCTGAATGTAAATTATTAGTGCTATACTGTCTTACCTTTTCAAGAATATCCCTACTGTTTGAGTGCTTTTTGCTTAAATCAAGTGAACATGACCTCTTTTGATCAGATGACTTGAATTTCATTTTTCTGCAGCAATTCAATTTCCTTATATCTGACACAGATATTACATTCCTCATCTTCATCACTTCCTCCCATCAGCCAAAATTTTCTGTAAATATTAATCAATTAAATAACAAGCATTCTGAGAGTATTGCATAAGTAACACTAGTCCCCTACTGATAAGTGTAATCTAGGGTCCCTTAAAAATTAAAAAGGCCAACATTCTGCCAAAAATCATCGAGGCGGAATAAGATGCAAACTTTATCAGCATCTCTTCAAGGTACACTCACAAACCAAAAATCAGATCAATATCTGCATGCATTTAGAAAATCATAGGTATTCAAAGATTACTAAGCTTACCTCAAAGAATATCTATAAGGGGAAAAATACTTTCTGCGTGTGCTAAAGTACTGGTATTTTTAAAGATAAATTATTGGAATATTTTCTATTATCAGATTATATGAAATAATGTATTTTCAGTAACACAATAAAAGGAGGGTAATGTTAGACTTCAAAGCAGATTAATGAAAATGATGGAAACAATAAAAATAGTTAATTAACATAGCCAGATAGTTCAGTTGGTAGAGCCCCAGTGGGCTCGGGATCAAATCCTGTCTGGTCCATTGCATTTTCCTCCTTGCTGGTTACATGTACATTGGTGCCATGACCATGCCCTGGAAGTGACAGGTGAGAGACCTGTTAGGGAAGAGCCTGTGTTAGTGCCTTTGGGGTTGAGGACCTTTAAGGAGGGAGTAGTGTGGTGGTCAGACATCTTTGAGTGCTTGTTGCCAGATAGCTCTCCATTGGTAGAGCACCTGACTAGTTATTCAGAGTTTCTTGGGTTCAAATCCTGGTTAGGTTCGTCGCTTTTTCTTTCTGGCCAGTCAGGTATTTTTTATGTCTTCTTTTCAAAATAATGATTATATGTACCTAGCTGCAGAACTGTATCTCTCTGGTTGAAAAAAATTGTACAGACAACAAATCTCGCATCATATTTTTTTTCTAGTTAATTTGCATCCCAAAATCAATATCTAAGCAAGTTTGATTTAAGTAGGACTTATAGTTACTTGGAAATGGACCTGCTCCAAAAACTTTAACCTTTCACTAATCAAGAAAATGTCTGTCAGTTCAAACATCCGAAGCAAGTCTGGAAGTGTCCATCCCTCGATGCATCATCTATGTATAACCATAACAGGCCACATAGCTATACTGCTACTCCAGAAACATTATCCTCATGGTCACTCATCTGGAAAATGTAGGTCAGATTCAGGATCCAAGGCTGGTCTGGAAGTGGCCATATCTAAATTCATCATCCATGCTAATTTGGTTAAAGTATTGCTAAAATTCACTCATCTGGAAAATAAAGGTCAGATCCAGCATCCGATGCAGGCTGGGAAATGGACATCCTTAGATGCACCATCAATGAAAGTTGTGGACGGTATGCGTCTTACCAGGGTGTAAACTGTAGAAATCATGCAAGGCAACAAACTTTGTGAGGAAGACCCTGTCTCTCCTTTTTTTCTGCATTAGTCAGACCCAGCACAATCAGCAGTATAGATTACCAAACCAGAGCGACAGATTCATGCATTGTAAAAATCTTCAATTTACAGGAACACTTATTTTGTCGCTGGCTTCGGGTATTATTTCTTGCATTATATGTGTTTCCCCATTTAAAGGATGATATTACTTAATTAACCATATTTTATTAGTAATCCTGATACTTTATTTACCTTTCAACTGTTACAAACAGCTATGTGGCCGGGTTGGAATGTCAGCTTTTAAATTCACATTCCTACGTCCATATGGTGGGGTCATCCTAAATTAACGTGACCTAAAGGTAAATAGAGTATCAGGAATAAGAGTTAAATATATGGTTAATTAACAGATACCATACTTTAAGCTGGAGAATGCATATACTATACATTAATACAAGAAATAATACCCAAAGAGAGAATAAAAAAGCTTTGCTGTAAATTGAAGGTTTTTACAATGCTTGGAGATGTAGCTCTCTAGTACGAATTTTCTCAAGCAGAGATCGAGCTACAGTTCTGCAACTAACATGTACCATGCACATATCAAAAATATAAAAGTGGGGATAAGAGTCAGAAGAATATCGTATTACCCCCTCCCCAAACTGAAAAAAAAATCCATTAACTGATCAACTGCTGACATTAAACTGTTGCACATCTAACACTGTGGTGATCGAGGGCTTGTCCTGAGACACTGCTTATTCTAGCTTCAAGAGTGTGCAATTACCATCGCCCGACGCCCGGGGCTACCAATTTTAGAGGTCAGGCTATCATAAATCTATACTGCATTAGCCCGTCGGGCTAGTAAATCTAAAACGAAAGTATAATATATAGTATATATAACCCTGCCTGACCACTGCAATGTTCAGGCTTTAACCAATGTTAAATTTACAGTGAAGACTTGACTTTCATCAAGCTGCATGCTTTAAAAACTAATGTATTTTAAAAACAAATGCAAACTATGGTTATGATCATGTATAATGCTGTAATAGTATGACACAGTAGCTTTGTGCAGATATACCTGGTTTAAAAACATAAACATATCCAGGTGTTTTTGTTTACCATCAGAAAACTAAATAAATCGTACGTAAATTTGTCCGCTCAAAAATATATTTAGGACTAGGATATATGATATCTAAAAATTCATTTGAATGATATAAAAAAAGTCATTTAAGCACATAGGTAGTTTTTTGCTATTAATATTTTTCAGTTGTATTATATTTAAGTGTTACATATCTCGAATTAGGTTTTGGTCAAGTTACTCAAAATTAAAAATGGACGCAAAAATAGTGCAGAAATGTCCACTGAACAAAAAATAGCAATGAAACTGTCATTCAAAAGCAATTTTTATATACAAGAACGATAAAAGCAAAATTCTTTCTAGGTAGTTTTCATGGATAAATCTTAGAGGCAAGTTTTTAAACATTTATTCGCTGTTAATGGTCTATACAATGTGTGTATCGATACAGACAGATGCAGTCTATCTTCTGCTCATTAAACAGTTAAACTTACGATCTGGTAAATCTTTTCAAGGTTTAAGCTTTGCCTGGAGCTAATAATTGCGTCTTCGTGAGTGGTAGAAATATTATTTGATGAAAAATATTATGTTATTTCATAGTTTTTTTTATGTTTGACATCCTCGTTACACCACAGCCAATGAAAACGCCGATATGAAACACACCTCTTAAACAGCTGGCAGCAATGAATCAGAACAGAATATTTTTGTTTTTGAATAATATCCAATGTGATAGGGATTCTGTTCTTTTTTTAATTTGTCCAGTGTACAAGAAATGATCCAATATGATATATACAATATATATGAATAATATGATACTATTATATATATTTACATTGCATTCCTATAAATTAACTTTTAAAAATTAGATGAGTTGATTCCTTGATAATTAAACATGAATATTAATTTTTGTCAAGGACAGGAGCCTAACTTGCATGTCAATCTGTTGCGGCTGTCTTTGTTATCGCTTATATTTCAAGACAGTTATCATGTATTTTGTTTATCCTGCAACATATTTTTACATTTGAAGTCCAAAAACTAGCTATTTTCAACAGATTTAGTCACATCTCTGCAGTTGAAGCTATGATGCCATGGCACAAATATTGCAATATATGACTTCACAATGCTTTTAGAATGTCGGAATAAATGCAAGAGGCTTTATTAGGGCATTGACCGAATAAAGCTTTGGTTTATTAGGTTACCTTTATTCAGTCAATACAAGGGGTGGTTGCAGGATAAATTGCTTTCTCTGTGATAACTTCTAAAAGTTAGGTGAGTTGATTTCTTGATAGTTAAACTTGAATGTAAATTTTGTCAAGGTCAGGAGCCTAACATGCATGTCAATCTCTTGCGGCTGTCTTTGTGTCTAATGTCAGTGGGTGGGGACTATAGTATTGAAATTCACCCATTATGCAAATTATCCCACATTTCCAACTATCGTTGATGCCCTGGCATACCCAACAAACTAGACAGTGATTCCTTAAGTAGATTGTAAAGTTCAGTTGTATCAAATGTTGGGAATAGCTGAAAATAATATCTTTGGATTAATGCATTTCATTCATAATAGCCTTAATTTTTTTATTATACAAATTTCTTATTCCCAGGTCATGTTATTAAAATTAGTCCTTCATGATGGAAAGTATGTACTCCATAAAAGATTTCTACATTGTCATCAAGCTTTCCTACAAGTATTTCAGCATCAAAAAGTCAACACCACATTAACCAATGCAGGTAAGAATTCTGTTAAATATACATACATCTTGATTTAATTCATAAACTATGAGCAGGTCTAGTACAATCAGCACAATTAGTTACATAGCTTGAATTATCTACCGTAGGTTTATTTAGCTACTTCAGGTAACTTAATTTATTTAGCTATTTTAATGCCACTTATAACAATTTTGCCTTTTATTTAAGATAGACCTAAAAATCGCAAGTATATAACAAATTATACATTTATTTATAGTAGGAATTTTTAGAAAAGCAATCCATAGCAGCGAAAGTTTATACATTGCTGCTTTTGTACAATTCTAAGCAAAAGATGTTTTTCCATTATTTGAGTAACTGTACACCACCTTGTGTGTGTTGAGGCATGTATAAGTATGATTACTTTACACTGTGCCAAATAATTACCAATCAATTATCATGTTAACCAGAACTGGTCCTCTTTGTTATTTCATTCAAGAGGTAACTGTTTGGTTATAAATGAACTGTTGTATATATAGCCCCAAAACTTTTAGAACTTTGATTGCAATTTTAATTGCACAGAAGAAAAAACACTCCTCATATATGATTTTTTCATGAATTGTTTCAATTCAATTCAAAGGTAAAAATTATCATTGCATCAAAGTGCAATTTTATGCACAACCTGAGAAAAATGTTCCTTTTAAGAATTAATTAAGAAATAAGCTTGATTTAGTAGCTAAATAAAGCTACTTCAGGTAGGTAAATAAAGCTATGTAGGTAATTTAAGCATAAGATATCAAAACTATACCTCATTGTAATTATTTAGTTTAGATTTGATTTGTACATTGTAATTGTTACAGGTTATAGGAAATGGCATTCTTCCTCACTCTTTCCTAGTCGGAAGTTTTTGGATCTAGTCAAACCATGTGTCACTGGTGAAAGACTCCTATTTAGCCACAATAAAAACTGTGATAATACTCAAATTCAAAAAACTGGCATGTATACTAAAGAATTTATGTCATTATTGCATCATAAAAGTTGGTTTAAAATGAAGATCATAGAAATATGCCAATGAAATGGTGCATAGTCAAACTTTCTGTAGCAAATTTCTGATAGTTATTCATTAAAACTGTTCAATCAATTTTGTTTTTTCAACTCATATCAACCACTTAAGAAAAAGCATATGCACACCCAAGACTAGTCAATTTTCTTCAGGAGGGATAATTGTTCACTTCATTCTGTATTTACAGATTGTGAACTACTGGATCAAGTAGACTGGTAAGTGATTCACACTGCAGTATATCATTCCATTGAACATTTTATGTTATGACTTCCTCAAAAGTAGAGATATTATTGAGGTTATCACTTATTACTTATTATGCCCCCCTTTTAAGAGGGGAGGGCATATTGCTTTGCCGCTGTCTGTCAGTCTGTCGGTCCACCAACAGTTTCCTTTCATTTTCTTTGCAGAGGTTGCACATACTGAAATGAAATTTGGTGTACAGATTTATCATAAGAATATCTAGGTCAATTTTTGTTTTGGGTACAATCAAGCAATTTTTGACAGAGTTATGCGCCTTGGACTTAAAAAAATTCCAATTATTTGGGGAGGGTGGCATACACTGTAAGTGTTTCACAAACATCTCTTGTTCTTTAAGTATTTTACCTTCAATATCTCGAATCCTCCAATATCTCAATTTTTTTTCTTAATACATGTAGTACCTTCGAGTTCAAGATAACAAGGTTTGACTGTTTATTGTATGCACCCAAAAATGTCACCTCCCCATCTTACAACCAAGCTTTGGATTTAAGCACATACATGTATATTTTGCAATAATAATTAAGCTTCTAACTGTTTTATATACAGGCAGCTTGTAATTAAGAGATTACAACATGACAGTAAAACACCTAAACCTAAGGAGGGCTTGTATTTATTCAAAAGAGAACCCAATTATGGTAAGTGCTTATCTTCCAATGTGTTCCTTTCTAATACATGTATTGTCCTTTTTAAAAATAGAATGTGTGTTTTTAGCTCTACTGGTCAGAGACCAGAAGAGATTATGTGATAGTAAGTTGTCCGGCCTCCATCCATCTAGCTGTCTGTCTGTCTGTAAACAATTTTTCAAAATGCAACTCCTCCTATTGTCTTGGTCTGATTTCAGTATAACTTAGCACACAAGTAGACTCCAATAAGGTACATAATTTAATGCATTGAATGTTGCCATTCTTTCCAAAGATAAAAATTTCTATGTTCAAAATGCTATTTCTCTTACAGTTTTGGTCTGATTTCAGTATAACTTGACACGCAGGTAGAATACTCTGAGATACATTATATTTTTTATCGATATTTGTTTTTTTATGAGCACTGTTTCCATGGTTACTAAAAATATAAATTTCTTTGAAATACTTTTAAAATGCTACTTCTCCTGCAGTTTTGATCTGATTTCAATATAACAATGCACACAAGTAGACTACACTGAGATACATATTTTTATATCAGTTTTTGATTTTGTCGAAAGGTCATGCCATTGTTACTAAAAATAGAAATTTCTGTGAATTACTTCCAAAAGGCTACTCCTCCAACAGTTTTATCTGATTACAATAAATCTTGCCACAAAGCAACTAAACCAAGGACCATTATTCTATTTATTGCTGTTGCATAGTTTCAAGTGCAAGCGCTACATTCCTCTTCCTTTGTTATAAATACAAACCAGTAGAGCTACAGTCTCATCAGAGACAGTGAGTGTGCTGCTGAATCAGACATGACTCTAGCCTTTTTATGAAAACTACATAGAAGTATAAGCTTCCTCTATAAGGATATTCAGTAAGACTTGTCTAAAACTTGCCATCACTGGTTCCATAGAAATTGCCCATATTAGGCATTTAAAACAATTAAGTTCACTGAAAGGGACCAAAATTTTACATTGTAATAAGCAGGATTTCAGATTACACAACATCTGGAATAGACAAGTTTAATTTCATCTTCAAGGATTTTATCTTCTTAAGTCAGCTGTGATAAAGGACATTCCTTACTTTGACAACTTTCATCTTGAACCAGCAAAATCTTTTTTCAGAAAAAATGGAAAATACTATTTTATACGAGGAAGAGCTACACAGGGAATATGGTTTGACACCAAAGTATGTAAATTGATTCCTCATTACTGAAAGTAGAAACTATTGATGTCATACTTCATCAAGATATCTAATTATTTTTGTTTTATAACTGATATTTTGACATATGATGTAGGGACGTGGAAGGTTTACCCAGAGAGAAAATGAGAAGTGGCTGGTCCTTATCCCAGACAGAAGACATAAAGTACGGATACAGAAAACATCTAGTCCATGCTGTGTAGGTCATTTTGACTATGTTATTAGTCTTAAATTATATACATAGGAGACCCACATTAAAATATTGTATAAAAAACCTTAGAGATGAATTAAATTTTATTAATAGATTTTTTGGAAGATCACTTTGTATTAGTTTATTAGAAATGCTGCAAGATAACATTTATCAATGTGAGCTAATTTGTAATCTTTGACAACATGGTTAACCTGCAGTTGTTGTTTTTTTTTTCAGGGCATTAAAAAAATGGGGTTCAGAAGAGGCCATAAAATTGCGTAGACTAATTATCAAAAGGGAAATGGACAAAAAAGGTTTGTCTGCAAGTTTTTAAAATATATTGTAATATTGCAAATAAAGATTTCAAATAAGTAGAGGCCCATGTCAAATTTCCTGCAAAAATTGACACATGGCTGTAAATACAAATGACAAGAAATTTTTATGAAAAAATATTTCTTTTGCAGAGGAATATGCAAATGAGCAAAAGGTAACAATTTTTCAACATGCAAATAGTGGAAGATCCAGAATGACTTATTGTACTTCTTGTAAGAAAATCTAGATAGTTCAGTATTCCATTCAGAATTTGATGTACCACTACTTTGTTTCATGTATTAAATTGTGCATTGTTTAAACCCATTTTAATGATTTTAATTTTAGTATTTTTATCCTTTAAATTTCAGAATTATGATATATTTACCTTTGGATTCAGGGACAGACAAGGTCGAGTTATTTCTATTGCTCTGGTTGTGTAAGTATTACAATTATGTACAAAGTATTATGCTTACATAAGCTTTAAAATCAATTAACTGGTATATACATGTACATGTATACACTTACTCAAAAGTTGAGGACCACCGAATTTGATATGTAAATTAAAATATTAAAAAAAATTATTAAATATTTTCAGATGTACTAATCAATCAAAAATTTGATTATTATGTGTTTTTATGTTCATAGATATTTCCATTCAAATACTTGTAAAATACTTTCTTCAAGGTCACCAATGCATGTTTGAACAATGCTGTTTTCACTGTATTCTCATCCATGTTCACATGAGCTTCATAGATAAAGAATTTTATAAGTTTTTATGCAAGGCCATCATTAAAAAAATTGTTAGATCTACTCTGACCCACATTTTTCAAGGTGGGTAGGTATAGGTAGTTTTTTTTTAAAAAATTATCCACTACATTGATAAGCATAATAAAAATCAAAACTTAGAAATTTATTGATGTTTCCATTATACACTGTTCAAAACAGTTTTTAGCTCACCTGAGCTGAAAGCTCAAGTGAGCTTTTCTGGTCACATTTTGTCTGAAGTCCATCTGGCTGTCTGTCTGTAAACTTTTCACATTTTCGACTTCTTCTCCAGAACCACTGGGCCAATTTCAACCAAACTTGCCACAAAGCATTCTTAGGTGAAGGGGATTCAAGTTTTTTCAAATGACGCCCTCTTTCAAGGGGAGATAATTAGGAATTAGTGAAAAATAAATAGCATCTTTTAAAAATCTTCTTCTCAAGAACCACAGGGCCAGGAAAGATGAAACTCATGTGGTAACATCCTCAGGTAGTGTAGATTTAAGTTTTTCAAATCATGACCCCCGGGGGTGGGGCGGGGCCACAACGGAGGATCAAAGTTTTACTTAGAAATATATAGGAAAAATCTTTAAAAATCTTCTTCTCAAGAACAGCAAAGCCATGAGGAGTCATATTTATGTGGAAGCATCCTCAGGTAGTGTAGATTCAATTTTGTTCAAATCATGACCCCCAGGGGTAGGGCGGTGCCACAACGGAGGATCAAAGTTTTACATAGAATTATATAGGAAAAATCTTTAAAAATCTTCTTCTCAGGAACAGCAAAGCCATGAGGAGTCATATTTATATGGAAGCATCCTCAGGTAGTGTAGATTCAAGTTTGTTCAACTCATGACCCCCAGGGGTAGGGCGGTGCCACAACGGAGGATCAAAGTTTTACATAGAATTATATAGGAAAAATCTTTAAAAATCTTCTTCTCAAGAACAGCAAAGCCATGAGCAGTCAGGTAGTGTAGATTCAAGTTTGTTCAAATCATGACCCCTGGGTGTAGGGTGGGGCCACAATGGAGGATCAAAATTTTACAAAGAAATATATAGGAAAAATTTTGAAAATCTTCTTCTCAGGAACAGCAAAGCCCTGATTGGTCATATTTATATGGAAGCATCCTGAAGAAGTGCAGATTCTATTTTGTTCAAATCATGACCCCGGGGGTAGGGTGGGGCCACAATGGAGGATCAAAGTCTTAAATAGAAATATATAGGAAAGTATCTTCTTTTGAAGAACTGTAAAGCCATGATTAGTCATTTTGATATGGAAGCATTCTCAGGTAGTGTAGATTCAGTTTTGTTCAAATGATGATCCCCAGGGGTAGGGTGGGTCCCAATGGGGGATCAAAAGTTTTACATAAGAACATATAGGAAAAAAATTCTTCTCAAGAACAGAAAAGCTATGTTTAGTCATATTGATAAGCATCCTCAGGTAGTGTAGATTCAAGTCATTCAAATGATGACCCCTGGGATAGGGAGGAGCCACAATGGGAGATCAAATTTTTACAAAGGAATATATGGGAATTTTTTTTTAAATCTTCTCAAGTACAACAAAGCCATTTGTTATATTGACATGGAAGTATCATGAACTGATTTGTGCTTTTGCCTAGCCAATGTGCTCAGGTGAGCGATGAAGCCCATGGGCCTCTTGATATATTTATTGCTGAAAAAACTGAGAACCTAAAAAGTGTCTTAGAGAAATGATGAACCTTAACTTTAAAAAGAATACAGACAATCTGTATTTTCCTATATACATTGTATATATATAAAAAAAGAAAAGTACTCAAAAAGTGATTGAGTAGGGCTGATTTTAATGGGTTGGTTGGAGTACATCAAACAAATAATTTTTTATTCTTGGCCCAACCATGCCACATTGTAAACTACAATGTATCCAATGCTGAAAGCTGGCAGGCTGTTGGAATGGTAAGAACTGAAATGATGTATAGAAGGGTTGGCGAACACTTAAATGTCAGTCACACTGTAAATCTGTGTCTGGTACACCAAGAATTACCAAGATAACCAAGGATTCGAAATTCTGAAGGATTTTGTTCATTGAAAAGTAGTAGATTTATGAATAAAAGTGGTAGACGGGAGATGGAGTAAAAAAAGTGGTAGACTTCCACCTAAAGTGATAGAGTTAAGGTGTATGAAAAGAATATGTGCTTGGGACTTCTAAATCATTTCGACATATCCATGGTATTCTAAATATTGGTGTTCGAGATACCGAAGTTCAAATGTATCAACAAAAATATTTTCAGCTCACTTCTCTCAATAGATAATTTACATCTCATAAATTTATACTATGAAATTGGTACATGTAATAGTATTATTTGTAAAATATTGGTAATTGTAGGAATTTAACAGTATGCTTGATGAAGATGGTTGTTTATGCCTTTTCCATGTCTCCAAGTATGCTGGCAGAGTTTCTTCACTCAATGTTGGACACCGCTAATCAAGTAAGCAATACTGTAGGCTTTATATTGTGTTGTCACATCATGCATTTGATGTGTGAATTAGACAGTTAGTATTTGTACTGTGTCATGTAATTTTGTGACCAAATGCAATATGGCAATACCTGAATTACCATCAGCTGATTTACACTAAACAGAATTGGATTTTAAGATTAAAAAAAATCCTTGTATATTTTAAACCTCCATTGTATGTGTGTATACATTTCCTCTTCTTTTTTTGTAATAGGGAATGATATATTGGGGCCTGTATGTTTCGAAGAAGGCACCAGATAAACATCACCCGTAAGTAATTAAGGACTCGATGTTTCAGAAATTCAAATTTGATATTAAAAGCTTAACCTACCAGTAGATATCATTTGAAATGGAAGCAATGAAAACAGTTTGTTGTACACTGTATTCTGTGATCTGAGTAACAGGTACATTATTTCTACCTGATCCATACTTGTCAGACAGGTGGGCATCTGTAAAGTTTTGTGTATTCTCAAATCTCCTCTGAAATTTCTAAACCAGTGTCAACATATTTAGGTAAACAGGAAAAAAAATGAATGTCATATGATCTCCAAGACCTGAAGGTTGATACAAAAACTTCTTTATTGATGAAGTATTTGTTAACTTTCTTCTGAATTTGTAAGAAAGATAGATTATTTGCATGATAGAAAGTAATGAGTCCTTTACCAATATTATGAAGTTAATGTCCCATCAGACTCAAGGGTTAAATGTGACATTGAAAATGCATAGTTTCTTTAAAAATATCATTTATCTGGTACTCCTGACATTTAGCAGAAAACTTGGCATATTATGATGATGACCAATGAAGTCTTTTATAATTTGAAAATTCATGTCGTCTTTGTTCAGATTTTAGTCTTTAAGGTAGTGCTAAGTTGTTCATTGAAAAATTTGTGATTGTGTGTACTCTATAATTTGTGACGGTGCATTTCATTTGGCCAGATTTTTCAAATATCATTTCTTGGGTTGGGAGGAATTTTGTTATTTCATTAGGGGGTATTATGATATTTCATTTTGGCAGTAATAAATGATATAAATCTATTAAGTAAATAGAGTAATGTTCTCTCTTTACTATACAACTGAAAACATATTGACTAATCTGAAGTACAGATAAGAGCAAAAATTACTTTTAGGAAATAAGTGTTATTTCTGAGTTGCTTGCATGAGAATGGAGTAAAGGTTAAAAAATGCCTGATTTTGGATAATTTTATATTTAGAATAGACCTTACACTACATATGCTGTCTTGAGTTCTTTTATCTATAATTTGTCTTGTACAGTTGAACTGATATCTCGAAAACCATGGATATGTCGAAATGATTTGGAAGTCCCAACCCCTTAAAGTATTTTACCCTGGATATCTCAAAGTTTTTTCTTGGTCCCATTGAGTTTGAAATAACAAGGTTTGACTGTATTTCGATCATCATTTTATATTAACATTTTGAGGATAGAAATGACAACCAAATAGTATTCTATAACTGATTTCATGAAGATTCATCATTATAAAAACTTTTATTACATATTTCATGTACATGTGCTTGTTATTTTTTTTTTTATTAATAATAAACAATAAAATAGAACTGACTCTATCTCTTTAGTTTTTACGCATAATTCTCACTTATCACCCTTTTGAAAAAATTATTCCATCCAAATGGAAACATTTTCTCCACTCAAAGGGGAAAAAAACATTTCGCCCAAATGAAATCATAATTTGCCCAAATGAAAAGCACCAGTGTTTGATACTAACTTGATTGTCAATGTCTATGGGCTTCTTGTTTAAATTGTGGAATGTATTAGACACCTGAGTAATACTGTCAGTGTTTTCTCCAGAGTTGTTCTGGTGACAATTATTTTTTTTTTCATCTAACGTTCAAGTTTTGCCAACAATATAGCACTCTGCAGTATTTAAGTTGGGACTAAAATATGAAGATGTCCTTTAAATGTTGCCATTACTTATTCATTATCACATGTACACTGTACAGGCATGTATAAGAATCTGTGAATTTACTCCTCATGCATTCTTGCTAATACATAGGACATCAAACATTGTTTTGTTTTTCTATTGTTAGGTATGGCTATGCCAGTTTTCAGAACATCACCTCTCTCTGCAGTGGATTCTCCTTCTTTGTATTTGGATTTTTACTCTCATCTATCATGAATTTCTATTTTTTCCTTGGAGCAGAAACCTCACTATCACTTGTAAGTTGTATATTTTGTTCGTACTTGACTGTAAGGAAGATAAATTAGCTAACTTCATGTATTTGCACAGTGTTAATAGAAGAATATTATTAAATTATGAGCTACTTCAGTCATTTGTATAAAATGACACTGTTTGTTTTCCTTTCAGGTTCATTTAGGAGTCATGTATCTAACATTCATTATGGAGGGATGTGAGTAAGAACAAGTGCAGTAGTATATCATTAGTTAATAGGGAAAATTGTCAGATAATATTTTTAAGAGATGAATTTATAAGCATATCAAATATTAAAGTATATTCTCCCATAAAAAATTAGGTAAATGCATGATTATTCTTTATAAAGAAAATACAGAATAGGGATTAGGGAATAAGCAGTAGGTAGATAATGAAGTGTGCCAGTGAAGCTGAATGGAATTAAAGGAGTGTTAAAAAAATAATAATAAAAATTAGGCATCATTTCCAAGATTTTGGAAGTTTTTATGGTAGAAAATTAAGTGGTTAATTGACTTTGACTTTTTTTTTCCCTTGCAGTTTCTCTTTTCTTTGCTACAAGAGAACTGAAACGAAAAGCTAAAGAAAGGGACATGAAGTTATTTCCCTATAGTAAGTACAGTATAACATAACTTTGCATACAGTATTAAATTTGGTCTGTTGCATCAAATTTTTGAGTTTTCTTGCACATGATTTTATCATTTGAATATTCAGTATTAATCTAAAGACATAAATAATTTGAAGATTGCTTCAGTGCTCTATGTATTACATTTTAATTAAAGAACTTTTGGCCATATTGCAACACAAAAACAATCTATGGTTTGATGATGTCTTTATATCAGTGTCACCAGTTTTTTATCTGTTACTTACACATGTAGGTTTGTTGAAGGTCACCTATTTATTGTGTAATCTTTGAGCTTCATTCTTTAGGATGAGCTGTTTTCAAACAAATACCCCTACTGGCTTGAACTTCAACTTAAAACTTGATATATAAGTACCCATATGTTAAATGTTAATAAGACACTTTTTAGCTCACCTCGACAAAGTCGAGATGAGCTTATGCTATACCCCCGGCGTCGGCGTTGGTGTCGGTGTCGGCGTTAGCGTCGGCGTCCCGGTTAAAGTTTTAGGAGCAAGTCCATTCCCAAGTAACTATAAGCCCTACCTGGACCAAACTTGCATGGATGATGCATCTAGGGATGGACACTTCCACACTTGCTTCGGATGCTGGATCTGACCTAGATTTTCCAGATGAGTGACCAGGTTAAAGTTTTTGGAGCAGGTCCTTTCCCAAGTAACTATAAGCCCTATCTGGACCAAACTTGCATGAATGATGCGTTTAGGGATGGACACTACCACGCCTGCCCTACCTGGACCAAACTTTCATGGATGATGCATCTAGGGATGTACACTAACAAACCTGCTTCGGATGCTGGATCAGACCTAGATTTTCCACATGAGTGAATTTTAGCAATATTTTAACTAAATTAGCATGGATGCTGTATCTAGGGATGAACACTTCCAGACTTTCTTTGGATTCTGAATCTGACTTACATTTTCTAGATGAGTGACCAGGATAATTTTTTTTTTGGATTAGCTATATAAAATTATGGCCTGTTATGATTAAACTTGCATAGATGGTGCATTCAAGGATGAAACTTCCAGACTTGCTTTGGATGTTGGAACTGACCAAAATTTTCTTGATTAGTAAACAGTTTTTTGAGCAGGTCTATTTCCAAGTAACTATAAGTCCTACTTAAACCAAACTTGCATGGATATTGATCTTGGGATGTACCCTAACTAGAAAAAAAATATGATGTGAAATTTGCCTTACTTATAGATAACATTCGTCGAGGTGAGCTTCGTAATCTTTGATTACCTATGTTTCTGTTAAGGATTACATTCATCATCTTCCAACTTCACAGAGTCATTACAATATATGTATTTTTGGCAGTCAGACGAGGCTTTGACCCTAATGTAGTGGTAGTGTTTATGGAGGATATGGCAGCAGTGTGTGGTGTGCTGATAGCATCTGCTGGAATGACCCTGTCACATCTCTATGCTCAGCCATTCTGGGATACAGCAGCATCTGGTTGTGTAGCTGGTCTGATGGGAATGGTGGCTGCCTACCTGATCAGATCCAACATTCCAGCTCTGGTTGGAAAGTAAGTGCATTAGATTATCAAGAAAAGAGTTTTACAGCTTACCTGAGCTGTGGCTAGCATCCTCCTGTATACAGTTGAACTTCAATATCTCGAACACTGATATCTTGAATACCATGGATATTTCAAAGTGATTTGGAGGTCCCAACCCCTTATTCTTTAATTCGATATCTCGAACTTGGATATCTCGAAGTTTTTTCTCAGTCCCATTGAGTTCAAGATAACGAGGTTCGACTGTATATGTGTTCTTTGTAAACTTTTTACTTTTTCAAATTTTTCTTAACCACTTGGCCAATTTCAACTATATTTAGCACAGTAATCCTTGGGTAAAGGAGACTTAAGTTTGCTCAGATGTAGAGCCACCCCTCTTTCAATTGGAGCTTGAAAAATACAATGTGCGAAGTGGAAATTTGGTGGGGTCATCTAAAAATCTTCTCAAAAACTACTGGGTCAGAAAAGACAAAACTTTTATATGAGAATGCTTTCTTAATACATACTTTCTCAATTAATGGTCCTGGATATTAGATGGGGCTTCAAACTTTTTTATTTGAATTTAGATAAGAAGTAGCTTTAAAAAATCTCCTTAACAGTGGGCTGCTATAAGTCACATTGATATGCAAGCATCCTCATGTAGTTTACATTCTTGTGTGTTCAAATCATAGTCATATAATTATAGTCATTTAAAAGGAAAATTTTTTATAGATCTCCAGAGCAGCACAATTAGTAATACATTTGTTGATAGATTAATACACATGTATCCAGATTAATTGTATAATTAGGTATTTTTAAATAAGACTTTCTGGGTTAGGGTGGGGCCACAGGAGGTCAACATTTAACATAGGAACATTTAAGACAAAATCCTTTAAAATATTTTTCTGAAGGACAACAGGGCTAAGATCTCAAAGGGCTCTTATAAGTCAGATTATATGCAAGTGTCTTCTTGTTCTGTGGATGAAGTTTGTTTAAATCATGGCTCATGAGGTTGGGACAAGGTAGCAGTATGAGGTTTAAGCTTTGTAAAGGGAATGTATAGGAAAAAGTCTATACAGAACAGAAGGTCCACAATTAATCATCTTGATAAGTGAGTGTGTGAGCATCTTCATGTAAAGTAGAATGATCTAGGTTGATGGCACAAAAGAGGGTCATAGTTATGTTTAGTCATGTACAGGAAAAATATTGTTTCTTAAAAATAGCAGGTCCACAATGAGTCTTACTTAAGCATTTCTATGTGGTGTAGAATTATTTTTAACACTTAACATTTTTTTTTTGTTCCATAAAAATCGTATATTTTTTTCCTTTCTATAACATGCCCTTTTTCTCTTCCCAGATCAATTCCAGAGGATGAAAGGAAGGACATGGCAGATTTCCTGCAAAGTGACAGAATTGTAAAGTAAGAGAATTTTGTAGTTATGAATAACATGCTGAAATTTATACTTTTTAGTTTATTATGCCCCCGGATCGAAAGATCCCGGGGGTATATTGTTTTTGTCCTGTCTGTCTGTTTGTCTGTTTGTTTGTCTGTTTGTCTGTCTGTCTGTTGTCAACTTTAACCTTGCCTATAACTTATGATTGGTTGGAGCTATGACTGTCATATTTCACATGTGTATTCCTTGTGACAAGACCTTTCTTTGGGTACCATCATATTTGACCTTTTGACCTTGACCTTGGAGTTTGACCCACTTTTACAAAATTTTGTAACCTTGGCCATAACTTCTGAACAGTTGGAGCTTGGGGTTTCAAACTTCACATGAGTATTCTTTGTGACAAGGCCTTCTTTTGGATACCAACCACTTTGACCTTTTGACCTTGACCTTGGACTTTGACCTACTTTTGAAAAACTTTAACCTTGGCCATAACTTTTGAACAGTTGGTGCTTAGGGTTTCAAGCTTCACATGTGTATTCCTTGTGACAAGACCTTCCTCTGGATATCAACCACTTTGACCCTTTTGACCTTGACCTAGGAGTTTGACCTACTTTTGAAAAACTTTAACCTTGGCCATAACTTTTGAATAGTTGGAGCTAGGGCTTTCATACTTCACATATGTAATCCTTGTGACAAGACCTTCCTTGGAATACCAACGACTTTGACCTTTTGACCTTGACCTAGGAGTTTGACCTACTTTTGAAAAACTTTAACCTTGGTCATAACTTTTGAATGGTTGATGCTAGGGCTTTCATACTTCACATATGTAATCCTTGTGACAAGACCTTCCTTTGAATACCAACGACTTTGACCTTTTGACCTTGACCTAGGAGTTTGACCTACTTTTGAAAAACTTTAACCTTGGCCATAACTTTTGAATGGTTGATGCTAGGGCTTTCATACTTCACATATGTAATCCTTGTGACAAGACCTTCATTTGGATACCAACCACTTTGACCCTTTGACCTTGACCTAGGAGTTTGACCTACTTTTGAAAAACTTTAACCTTGGCCATAACTTTTGAATGGTTGATGCTAGGGCTTTCATACTTCACATATGTAATCCTTGTGACAAGACCTTCATTTGGATACCAACCACTTTGACCCTTTGACCTTGACCTAGGAGTTTGACCTACTTTTGAAAAAGCTTTAACCTTGGCCATAACTTTTGAATTGTTGGTGCTAGGGCTTTCATACTTCACATATGTAATCCTTCTGACGAGATCTTCCTTTGGATACCAACCACTTTGACCTTGACCTTGACGTTTGACTTTTATTTAAAAAACTTTAACCTTCACCATATCTTTTGAACAGTTGTATCAAGGTCTTTCAAATTTCACAGATGTTTTCCTCGAGACAAGATCTTTCTTTGGGTATCAACATTTTTTATCTTTTGGCCTGGATTTCGACTTGCATTTGAGAAACTTTAACCTTCGACATAAGCTGCCATACGGGGGCATAGTGTTTCACAAACACATCTTGTTAAGAATAGTTTTTCAACACTGATAAGTGATATAGGACTTGCATCAGAAACAACATCTGACTTATATTTTGTGGATGTGTGATTTGGTTGTAGCTTGATCAAATTGCATGATTAATTCATTAACCTGGGTCCACACTAATAGCTTTGTCTCAGATGTCATATTTTATGAAATGAAAGTAAAGCTACATGTATATGACGGAATGCTTAATATAAAAGAATTCACACTGGATGACTCAAGTTGTGATATTACTATTTTTTTATTGTAAAAATGCCTCCCTCTGCTTTCTAGGCTGAAGTAAGAATGTTGTGATCTTTCCTACAGATATGTCTCTGATGTTAAAGCTGTGGAGATAGGACATGAAGTTAGATTTAAGGCTGAGGTAGCTTTTGATGGTAAAGAATTGGCTCAGCTTCTGTTTGAGTCTAAAGAAGGCATGGACATTTTAAACGTAAGTTATATTAGTATAACATTTGTATTCCTCAAATATTTATCTTCTTTGGAATTAGAAGCTGTTATTTTGGAATAATTCATTTATTTTTTTCAGGGCTTTAAAAATGTAACCAAGGATGAGGATGCTGTTGAGTACATGAAGAAATTTGCTGATGAACTTCAGAATATTCAGGGAAGAGAAGTGGACAGGATAGAAAGACAAATGAAAGTAAGCATAAATTAAGTTATTTGCGAAAAATTTGATATAATTTTGATATATTTTTATGAAAAACTTCATATTTTTAGCTCTACTGGTCAGAGACCAGAAGAGCTTATGGGATTGTAAGGTGTCCATTGTCTGTCTGTCTGTAAACTATTTTTCAAAATGTTACTCTTCCTACAGTTTTGGTCTGATTTCAATATAACTCAGTGGCTAGCAGCACAAAGTGCCGCTTGTCACTGTGAGCTCTTAAAGCAACGCCCGGGTGAAGAGAAAATTTGGACTTTGCACATTGACCCAAACAAATTTTTTTCCTCAGTAACCAATGGACTCACAATCCTTTGCAAATTGCATCTTGCTGTAAACTAGAATCTCGCGGTAACAATAAAACTTCAAAAACAAAGTCACCATAATTTGATGGATATTGATGTTAAATAGCTAGATTTAACTTTTTAAAAAAAATTAAATTAGCACTGTTTAGGCTCCGCATTGACAATGCAACTTACATATGATACGTTGTCATGTGACAACAGAGTCTAGACATACAAAATATCATGTGCAGTTTGAAGAGACGGATCTGAATTGAAACTGATTAACTGAATCTGTGCTCGCCCTAACGGTCACACCATCAACATATTCATATTACACAAGATACATAGTTCTGTTTAGGTTTTAGATTTCCATGAAGGGTGTTGCCGTAATAACTAAAATTAGAAATTTCTGTGAAATTCTTTCAAAATGCTACTCCTCCTACAGTTTTCATCTGATTAGTGACTATAACATATCTTAGTACACAATTAGACCAAACTAAGATACATATTTCTGTATAATGGTTTCAGATTTTATTGAACGGAGTAACCATGGTTACTGAAAATAGAATTTTCTGTGCAATTCTTTCAAAATGCTACTCCTTCTACAGTTTTAATTAATCTGATTATAATATAACTTAGTATACAAGTAGACTAAGATATTGAAAGGAGTAACCATGGTTACTGAATTTTCTGTGAAATTCTTTCAGAATGCTACTCCTTCTACAGTTTTAATCTGATTACAATATTGCTTAGTACACAAGCAGCCTACACTAAGATACATAATTCTGTGTATACCGGTAGGTTTTGGATTTCGATGAACGGTGTTGCCATGATTACTAAAAATATACATTTTTGTGAAATTCTTTTAGAATGCTACTCCTCCTACAGTTTTAGTCAGATTTAAATATAACTTGGTACACAAGTACACTACATAAACAAGATGTGTTTGTGAAACACTGATGCCCCCGTATGACAGCTTATGGCGAAGGTTAAAGTTTCTCAAATGCAAGTCAAAATCCAGGCCAAAAGATTAAAAATGTTTAATTTGAAAGCCCTAGGTACAACTGTTCAAAAGTTATGGCGAAGGTTAAAGTTTTTTAAAGAGTAAGTAAAACATCAAGGTCAAGGTCAAAGTTGTTGGTATCCGAAGGAGGGTCTTGTCACAAGGATTACATATGTAAAGTATGAAAACCCTAGCACCAACCATTCAAAAGTTATGGCCAAGGTTAAAGTTTTTCGAAAGTAGGTCAAACTCCTAGGTCAAGGTTAAAAGGTCAAAGTGGTTGGTATCCAAATGAAGGTCTTGTCACAAGGATTACATATGTGAAGTATGAAAGCCCTAGCTCTAACCGTTCAAAAGTTAAGGCCAAGGTTAAAGTTTTTCAAAAGTAGGTCAAACTCCAAGGTCAAGGTCAAAAGGTCAAATTTGTTGGTATCCAAAGGAATGCCTTGTCACAAAGAATACACATGTGAAGTTTGAAACCCAAAGCACCAACTGTTCAGAAGTTATGGCCAAGGTTAAAGTTTAATAAAATTTTGCAAAAGTGGGTCAAACTCCAAGGTCAAGGTCAAAAGGTCAAATATGATGGTACCCAAAGAAAGGTCTTGTCACAAGGAATACACATGTGAAATATGAAAGTCATAGCTCCAACCAATCAAAAGTTATGGGCAAGGTTAAAGTTGACAACAGACAGACAGACAAACAGATAAACAGACAAACAGACAGACAGGACAAAAACAATATACTCCCGGGATCTTTCGATCCGGGGGCATAAAAGACATAATTCTGTTAATCTGTTTTTGATTTTGTTGAAGTATTATCATGGTTACTACAAATAGATATATCTGTGAAATTCTTTTAGAATGTTAATCCTTCTTCAGTTTTTGTCCAATTGCAATTAACTTAGAAAGAGACCAAACTGAGGATTATTATTTTTTTAATTGCTGCTGCCATAGTTTCAAGTCCAAGTGCTAACTTTCTCTACTTTTGTTAAGTCAAAAAAAACCAGTAGAGCTACAGTCTTGTCAGTGACTTCTGGTCTTAAACAGTGATATTTTCTTTGGACCCCGCATGAAAATCTGGTAGCCCTATAGGAATCACATTGTCAATCCTTCTGACTTTTGTCTGTCTGTCAACACTTGTGACGTGATCAGGGATCTCTCTGACTCTGTCAGTTTTCCAGTTTCTATTGTGAAATGGTAATTAAGATTTAGTGAATAAAATAATTTATCTTTGTTAAACTGTTTCTTTGTGTTTCAGGCGGAGTTTGAGGGAAAGTACCACATAAAATTAAGACATGTAGACCTGGAGCCATTATAATGTATACTAAAGATTAGTAAATCAAAAAATCCCAGTGTTGCAACAGTGTTTAGTATGACAATGATACAAGAATTTTAACAGGAAAATGTAACCCAAAAGGATTCATTAGCTTGACTTTTTTTATGTGATAATTCACATAGAAGTATTAATTTTTAAAATGTTTTTCAATGAAATGTGAAATACTTCAGAATTCCATGTGTATAAAGGACTGTGCCTCCTTAGAATATGCTTTTTGGATCTCTGATTTTTACATACATGTACGAATATTTCCTGACAGTATTAGGCTGCAGCTATACTGAAGATGACCAAATTTTTGGTGACACCTTATTTTTTAGACTCTGAGATAGTTTTATGGTAATAATAAGCAAAACAAAATCTTCAGAATTTGATTATTTCTGTACAGTATCATGATAAATCAAATATATGCAAGAATATATGCAAGAATAAATTTTTTGCAATTACACAAAAATAAAGTTTTAGCAAATAAAAAAAGTGATCTTCAGTATTTTGTGATCCATGATTCACTCTCTGGCTACTGCCGTTTGCTTAGATGGTGAAGTACAGCCTCCCATTTGATGGAGATATCCCCCCCTTTCTCTCTCTCTTACAAGATTGTACTGCAGACTGCATATTAAAAGCTGTAGCCAGAGAGTGAATCATTGATTATAAACCAAAGATATGATGAAGGTAACAGATTGCATAGTTTAAGTACAAGAGTACAGATGTGGGATCAGTTCTCATGAACTATGATTGTGCTGCATATATACATGTATTTAAAATCTATACAGACAAGATTTATATGTTATAGTTTTTGTGCAGTTGTAGTAGAATTAATTTAAAAATTGCCTTTGAAAAGCATGCATGAAAATGATTTGTAAAACTGCATGAAGTGAGATTTATTAAAAAGTTATGGAGACTTGTACATTAAGAATTTTGTAGAGAAAACGTTTTTTGTCACAAAATTAGAAGCCTTGAGCCTGTTTTACAAACGAACTTACGATCAAGACAAAAAACTTTAGTTGATTTGCAAAATTAATTATTCCTATTAAAAGTGCTAGAATGAAAATATCTTCTAAATTACTTTTAAAAAGATGAAATTCATATTCAAATTAATGTAAAATAGATTAAAAAAGTAATAAGAAGAATTAAATTTTGGTCTTATTCGTAAGTTCTTTTGTAAAACGGGTGCCTGGTTTTTATATCTCAATTGCTATATAACATTTCAAAGATGTAATGTATTTTCAATATGTGGCCAATAAGTCCTACCCTACAGCTGAACCACAGACCCAGTGGCGTTAATTTCACAGTTATGGTAAAAGGTTGAGTACTTATTATCTTGCAAAATTTTGCTTACTAGAATTAAGTCCTTGAGTAAAGATTTTCCTAGAACTTATGATTAAGACCACAAACTTTAGTTGATTTGCAAAATTAATTATTTTTATCAATATTGCTAGAATGAAAACACCTTTATAAATTACTTTTAAAAAGATGAAAAATATATTCAAATTAATGTAAAATAGAAATTAATAAGCACAATTAAATTTTGGTCTTAGTTCATTTGTAAAACGGGTGCCTGGTTTTTATACCTCAGTTACTACATCACATTTCAAAGATGTATTTTCAATGTGTGACCAATAAGTCCTACCCAACAGCTGAACCATGAACCCAGTGGCATTAAGAACTACGCACGCTAACTCTCGATCCCCGCCTACATTTTACACCCATTTAATTCAATACTAATGGCAATTTGGCCGTAAAATTTTTGTTGGATGCAAAAAACAGTTCAATGGTAATTGACTGATAATTTCAATTCCAGTGTTAAACAGTTAATTAACCCTAATTCCAGCTCTTTAAATAAGGGGGTAGACGATATTTTTCATTGAAATCGGGCTTTAAAGCATCACCACATTTTAAAATATTCTTGGATATGAATAAATGTTCCTTAAATCTTTTCTTATCTTTTACTCATGTAAAATTAAACATATATTATTAATAAAATACAATGTTTTAGTTGTAAACCCCTTTGAAATTGGTGAAAAAATAAGCATTTTTGTAGTTTTTTGTCTGTAAACATATGTTCCCCCCCGTGAAACACAAAAAGTTTTGGTATGAATTTGTGAAATGACAGTCCATATTACCTGTAAAAAGGAATTTGTGTTTCACGGGGGGGGGGGGGGGGGAAGATGTTTTAAAAATATTTTCCGTTTTCCGTTGATTTCTATAGTGAAAAACACGTTTTACCAAAATTATAGAGTTATCTCTCTTCGTTTTCCCAAAGAAGTAATGTTTTACGAAAATTCATATAAATATTTATATACATATGAAAAATCATTCAAATGTGTTAACTTTTGAAAATTGACTTGGAGGTAGGCGGGAGAACAATACTATCGTTCGCAGTTCTTTCACAATTATGATAAAAAGTTGAGTACTTACTTACTTATTATCTTGCAAAATTTTGCCTACTAGAAGTCTTAGAGTAAAGGTTTTCCTAGTTATACTGATTTTCAATACAATGTATATATATGGAAGGCCGTCGGAATGAGCCCCCCCCCCCAAAAAAAAAAAAGAAAAGCTCTAAAATATCATTATTGAAACAAAATAATTCATTTTTCATCTGTTTAAAGTAATCCTGCTAGATTTCGTTATATTTGTGAAAAAATGACTTCATGAATGCAGTAGAGGAGCAAAGATTTTGTTAATTTTTATATGGTTTAGGACACACTCCTCTGAAGCCCAGGAAAAAAAAGACAACTTGAAATTCATCAATTTTCCTCTTAACTCATAGAGACTTTAAAGCAAAAGAACTACGCACGCTAACTCTCGATTCCCGCCTACATTTTACACCGATTTAATTCAACACCAATGGCAATTTGGCCGCAAATTCTTTGTTGAATGCAAAGGACAGTTCAATGATAATTGACTGATAATTTTAATGCCAGTGTTAAATAGTTAATTACCCTTAATTGCAGCTCTTTAGATAAGGGGGGTAGACGATATTTTCCATTGAAATCGGGCTTTCAAGCATCAACACATTTTATACACATTTATACCTATGAGATGTAATGTCTCTGGTTCAAATAAAACAACAACATTTTAAGATATTCTTGGATATGAATAAATGTTCCTTAAATCTTTTCCTATGTTTTACGCATATAAAATTAAACATATATTATTAATAAAATACAATGTTTTAGTTGTAAAACCCTTTAAAATTGGTGAAAAAATAAGCTTTTTTGTAGTTTTTTGTCTGTAAATATATGTTCCCCCCCGTGAAACACAAAAAGCTTTGGTATGAATTTGTGAAATGACAGTGCATATTACCTGTAAAAAGGAATTTGTGTTTCACGGGGGGGGGGGGGGGGGGGGAGATGTTTTAAAAATATTTTCCGTTTTCCGTTGATTTCTATAGTGAAAAACACAAGTTTTACCCAAATTATAGAGTTACCTCTCTTTATTTTCCCCAAAAAGTAATGTTTTATGAAAATTCATATAAATATCCATATAAATATGAAAAATCATTCAAATATGTTAACTTTTGAAAATTGACTTGGAGGTAGGCGGGAGAACAATGCTATCGTTCGCAGTTCTTTACTTGAAATTAGTTAACAACCGACTCACGTACAAATTCAGATAGGTCACCAAATTCGGATGACCAAATAATTATATCACCAACAATTCTCAATGACATTCTTTAATTTTTTTAATGCGTCAATTTTTTTTTTAACCGTGAACCTTTAATATAATGTTATTAAGTTTTTTTTCCTGTTGAGCAAGGAACTTTTCAAGGTGAACTGCGCAAAAGTACAACTGAAGAAACCTGTTCAAACCTGACTTGGTTCATATCTGCTTTCATATTGATATGAATAAATCTAATTACGGAGCAGGAAGACCTTAAAAGGCAATGACGACCATTTTGCTGAAACTGATTTATTATAATCCCCTCCCCGCTTGAAAAGCGGAGGATGTATAGTAATGGGAGTGTCCGTTCGTCTGTCTTACGTCCGTCCGCCTGTAACGCTTTGGGATATACATCTCTTATCCGCTTCTTCTTTTATACCACCGAATAAAATTTAATGCAGTACAGCAACTGCATCAAACGTCTTGTATATAAATTCTGTATATACACACAAGTTTGTATTGAGAATGCTTTATATTTTGGGGGTGAATTAGAAATCAGTGTGAGTTATGGTTGATTTCATATTTCATGCGAATTAAAATGTTCCAGAATGGAGTGATGGCATATACCTGTGAAGTGAAATTATCTTGTGGAACTTCTACTACTGTCTCTATAATTGTTCCACCAAAAAGTAGGTAGTTTCAAAAAGGTCGCAGTTTAATTTTTTCAGTTTGAAAATTCACCTTTACACATTTATGTAGTAATATTCTGCTTTCACCTGCAGATAGGGTTTACGTCTCCCAATTTATTCCATACTCAAGAACATGCTCAATAATTAGAAGAATTAAACACCAGACCTAGCCATTCTTATTTCTGAATAGGTTGGAAAAAAAGACTTTTCTTCATATTCACTGAAAACCCAGCTTGTATATAAGAATCTTTGACAAAAGCACTTTGAAAACTACAACATTCAAGATAAGACGACATTCCTATACCGTCATCTTTATACAAGACGATATTAATTCCCGATTGTTTCTAAAACTTTACCATTGGCCTAAGACATTTTGTAAAAACGTAAGATGTTGAACTGAGAAAGTCACCATTCCAGCAAAAACCCTAAAACTGGCTGTTAAGTTATACAAATATCAATGTGGTGATAACCTGACTTGAGATCAAATTTACACCTGACAAACCAGTTGAAAGTATTGCACTGCTACCTTCCAATCCTCAAACTTGATCTTATTTCTGACAAACATTAAAATTTATTAAAACACTCAAATCTGAAATCAGCCTCTTTCTACCCGAGCTATTTTCCGCCACGGTCAATGGGTTAACAACGATAGGATGGAATGTCTCTACGCACACAACCAGATTCTAAGAGTTCTGATGCAGCCCCTGAAAAAGTCTTCGTTAGTACATGCAGATCGGCTAGCTATTTTTCAAGTACAAATCTTTTGGGGCGTTGACAATCGGAGTAACTTGACCAGTTCCAATAATCTGGAGTCTGAATATTCTTCCAAAATTCTTCAGAATTTCTAAGCCTATGCTTAACCTTTAGAATATTGTAAATTGTCTGAATTTTTTAAATAAATGTGTTGTTCTTTAAACAAATGCGATTTTTCGCTCTTATCGCTTTGCCAAAAATCAAAGCTTATCATTCACTGGCGATGCCAGAGCTTGCACTCGATTGACTTGCGGAATTGAACAACGACAGATTTTCCTCCAATGTCCTGTTGTCGAATGAGGAGGGTTCCCGCCTTTTCCAGTACTTTCTAGAGTTTCCATACTGCCGAAAAAGCTGTTGCTGGCTACCGGCTGCGGCAGGAGCTAGGGTTGAAAGCTATCCCAGAAGAACGAGTAGACTTCAAGGGTTGGGACCTTGACCCGTAAAAGGCCGGTTTACACGGTAATACCTGTCGTATACAACTTGTCGTTTACAACTTTTGTAATATATTCCTTATATGTCTACACGGTAAAACAGGTTTACATTCCACTCTATTGTTATTGAAACAAACAAAACGCCCCTTTGAAGAAGTACAGTTTCTTTTTTTCATTTTGTTAACATGGAAGAACAGGAAGAGGAAGATTGTTATCTTAATGTGCATTTTGATAATTTCATTTCCACTCACTGTTGTGCCAGCAAAGAAGATCTAGCGAAAGGCCACGGGTCAGACAATGGATCGGGAGGGGAGTGATCACTATGGTGCATATCAGAACCACTTGATGGAATTCTAGAAATTTTCTGCGAATGGATATATGGCAGATTTTGATGATCTTTTGGACGTAGTATCCCCGGCCATTTATAAAGAAGCGGGACACATTAATGAGAAA